ATTTTTATGTTAAATGATTGAAATAAAAAACAATAAAAAGAACCACTTGTTCTTGCCTATCTTTTTCCTCTCTTTAGGCTTGAACTTAGCCTCCAGTTGCTCTTACATTAAGAGCAGGGTTTCTGGGCTGGGGTTGTGGCTCAGTGGTAGACAGTTGGCCTAGCATGTGTGAGGCCCTGCGTTTGATTCTCAGCACTGCATATAAATAAATAAAATAAAGGTTCATTGACAACTAAAAAATATTAAAATTTAAAAAGTGCAGAGTTTCTGAAGACATCTGTTGATCACAGTATTATTTAAGAGGGCATGACATATTATTACAAAAGACATTTGACCTTTGACCTGTTGGTAATGTTCTTCTTGTATGGCAGCCAGCACTTTGCAGGGATAGTGGTCAATTCCAGCTACCAGAGAATGACTTTTGAGGTGGTATGACGTGTCATCATCAATGTCAGAATAGCATCTGTTCAGGACTAGTTCTGCTTTTCCTGGGTTTCATGAACTTGCCCATTTCAAAAGCAAACACCTAGACCTAAAGCAGAAGGAAAGCATACTAATCAGAGTTATTTAGAACAACACAATCAATAGATTGTGTGTGTGTGTGTGTATAAATTTTTTTAACAATATTCTTTTTAAATTTTTTTTGTAGTTGTAGATGGACAGAATGCCTTTATTTTAATTGTTTACTTATTTATTTATGTGGTGATGAGAATCGAACCCAGTGCCTCATGCATGCTAGGCAAGCACTCTACCACTGAATTATAGCCTCAGCCCCTAGATTATAATTATATATATATATATATATATATATATATATATATACATATATATATGTATACATATATATATCTATAATAGAGAGAGAGAGAGAGAGAGAGAGAGAACTTTTTAACATTTATTTTTCAGTTTTCGGTGGACACATCTTTATTTTATTTTTATGTGGTACTGAGGATCGAACCCAGCGCCCCACGCATGCCAGGCAAGCCCGTTACTGCTTGAGCCACAATCCCAGCCCCTGTATATTTTTAAGAGGGAATTTATTAGATAGGTTTACATGATCAGAGGATCAATAGCTCACAATGGCCATCTGCAGGCTGGAGAGCCAGGGAAATCAATAGCTGTTCAGTTGAAAAATCTGGAGCATCAGCACAAGGACAAAGAATGATGCAGCCCCAGTCCAAGGCTGAAGGCCTAGAAGCCAACTGGAGGATTGCTGGTGTAGTTCCACATTTAAAAGTTGAATAATCTGGAGTCTAATGTTCATGGGGGATGGTGACAGCAGCAAAAATGCATCTGCTTAAGAAGAATTGAGCATGTGTGGAGCTTCCCCTTTCTTCTGCCTTTGGTTTCATCCAGGCCCCATGTCTATGCAATGGCACCACTCCTGTTCAGGTGAGTCTTCGCTCAGTTCACTGACTCACATGCCTATTATCTCTGGAAACATCTTCATAGACATACCCAGAACTGTGATTTGCTAATTTTTTAGGTGTTCCTCAATCTAGTCAGGTTGATGACTAAGAATAACATCACAGGAAGGAAGGGCCTATCTCCCACTTTTAAAAAGTATGTTAACTAGGATTTAAGTTAGGTTTTTTCAACAGGATTCAAAATAACAGTAGCTAAATAAAATAGAAATTTATGCTTTGTTCACATAAAAGTTGACTGTTATGTAATGCTATCATGGGCCCAGGTTTTTCCCAGTTTGCTTTCCATGAGATTTAACAATGAGCTATGTCTGCATGCTACAGTGATACACATGAAAGTCTGCATTCCAGCTAGCATAGAGAAGGAAGAGATAAAAGGAGGAAAAGGAGTGTTTACCCCTTCTCTTTAAAGGCACAGTTTCAAACTTAGTCATATAGCCATCGTTAGTTGCAAGAGAGATGGGTAACACTGTTTTTATCCTGGTGGCTAGATATCTGTAAAACAGATTTTATTACTAAGGAAAGAAGGGGAAACTTAAAAAAATGGGGCCAGCACAACTAGCAATCTCTGTCCCTCGATATCCCTTTGATTTTTTTTTTTAAATGGCTCCACTCTCTATTTTTTTTTTTAATATTGCTCAGAAACAATGATGGACACCCTTTTTTTTTTTAAGAGAGAGGGGGGGGAGAGAGAGAGAGAGAGAGAGAGAGAATTTTTAATATTTATTTTTTTAGTTATTGGTGGACACAACATCTTTGTTTGTATGTGGTGCTGAGGATCGAACCCGGGCCTCACACATGCCAGGCGAGCGCGCTACCGCTTGAGCCACATCCCCAGCCCCATCCTTTTGATTTTATATCCCTGTGGTAGGCAGAATAATGACCCCCTCACCCCCAGAACCTGTGAATATGTTAGGTTACTTGGCAAAAGGGAATATAGGTTGCCGATGAAACTAAGTTTGCTAATCAGTTGATACTAAGACAGATACCGAGATATCCAGAGGGGCCCAATGTAATCATAAGGGTCCTCAAAATTAGAAAAGGGGGACAGGAATGTAGCTCAGTATAACCACCACTAAACACATACACACACACAGAAGGAGGAAGCGGAGAGGTCAAGAGATGTGATATGTGGTTTTCATCTTAGATTTGAAGATAGAGGAAGAGAGTCATAAATCAAAGAATGTGGGTGACCTCTAATAAAAGTTAGAAAAGACAAGGAAGTGGATTCTCCCCCTAGAGCTTCCAAAAAGTAGCATATCCCTATTTACACTTTGATTTCAGTCCAGGGAAACCAGTGTCAGACTTCTAACCTTCAGAATTATATGATTTTAGTCCAGGGAAACCAGTGTCAGACTTCTAACCTTTAGAATTATAATACATTTGTATGTGTATTATTTATTTTTTACTTTTGTTTGTTTTTGTAGTGCTGGGGATAGAACCCAGGGCCTTGTGCATGATAGGCAAGTGATGTACCTTTGAGCTATATCCTAGTCCTCATGTATGTTTTAAAAGCAAATAAATTTGTGGCCATAAGACACTAACAGAATTTTTACTGGAAATGGAGTGCTGCTGTAAATCAATACCTAAGAATGAGAAAGTGACTTTGGAATTGGGCTGTGGGCAGAAGCTGGAAGAATTTTAAGTAGCATGGTGCCAAAAACCCAGGTTGATTTGAACAGACTATTAGTAGAAATATGAATGTTAAAGATGCTGCTGGTAAAGCTCAAGAGGAAAGGAGAAACATGTTATTGGAAACTAGAGAAAAAGGGATATTTATTATAAAGTGATAGAAAATGTAGGGGAATGTGTTTTGCAATTATGTGGAAAGCAGAACTAAGAACAATGAAACTGGACATTAACTGTGGATATTTGTGGATATTTCCAAACAAAGTGTTTCTTATAATAAAATGCCGTAGGAAAGAGCTAGATTGAGAGAGAGAAAAAGATAAAGAAAAGGGAAGTATGACTTGATGATTGCAGGATTGCAAATGATGCTAAAATTGAGATTCACTGTCAGGATAGAAAAAACCATGGATGAGGCTGTAAAACATTTTATTAATACCACAGAAAGAACAAAAGGTCAGAATATTTAGTCACAAAAAGGCTATAAAGAGATTAAGTATATGACTCAGATGTCCTCAATTATCTCTGCAGAAGCTGAAAACAGGGGAGTGACTATCTAAGAGAGACCTCTTGTCTAAGAGCAAATTCTCTGACAACCACGGGAGACCCCATAAGGTTCATGAGAATTTTATATAAGCAGAAGCTTTCAGCCTGGAATGAAAAGGAAAATATGAAACGAAAAAGAGAATATGAAATAAAAAATGCTGTGCAAATGTAAAATTCTACAGGCAAGTAACAGGCTGATAAAACTACTCCTTTACAAACATGTGTTACCTTTTATGAAAAAGAATGGAGAGATCCAGAGGGCAGAGTCTTGAAAGAGAGGATTATTTCTGGACTTTGAAACTTAATGGGTTTGTGTGGGTGTATTTTGAATTTTGAGGGGGAAGAGTGATTCCTTTTTCCCCCATCCATTATACCTCTTTTTGAGGGGTAGAAAGTAGAATTTTGAATGACTGAATATTTTCTCCTTTATTCGTTATTTTGACCTGCCATTATGTTCCCTATTTTAATTCCTAAGAACATACAAGTGAATGACAATGTCTGTGTTCCAGGAGCTCTTGCATTAGGAGAACAGGTGATATGTAAGCAAATAAGGTCAGTTCAGGGTACAAGAATAAAATTTGTATAGAAGAGGTGGTAGATAGGATTATTAGGGCAAAATGGAGAAAGTTCAACCTGAACAGTATGAATAAAAATTTACTGGGTAGATTAAGTAGGGCACAAGGGGAAGCCAGTTCAAGCCGAGAGTATAGCATATGTGTAGGCAGAGACGTATGAAATAGTAGGTTTTATTTGGGGACCTATGGGTGGTTTGGTAAAACTGGTATGGTGGGAAAGATGTTAAAAAAGTATGGAGAACTTGGAATATAAAGAGTCTTAGATACCATGCTAAGGAATGAAAATTCTTCCATTAGTGGGAGGGGAGACTTTTAAGATGGAATTGATATGATTAATTCTCACTCTGGACATTTCATTCTCACTTTAGATATGTTATCAGAAGTAAAAAAATTAGTTTGATATAATTCAGATGAGAACCTGAAGTAAAAATAGTTGAGGGAAAATAAAACGATGGAGGGATTATTATATCATACAAATTTTGGCTGTTTCATATTTAAAAAGAACAAACTTCTAATATAAATCGTGTTTCCTAAGTAGAAATTCTGTATTTGGAAAAAATATACTGACTAGGAAATTCAAGTTAGCTGGTTGGAATTGCAATTTATTTTTCATGTTTACCATTTGATCCCTCTGAGATTTTAAAAGTGTGGTCAAATTTAAAGACTAATTACCCCTAGAAAAGATGATAATATCAATTGCTGAACATGCAGAGTTGATAAAAGACCTATTTGTAACATCTCCAAAGTATAGAGATCCTGTAATATCGTAAACAAATAGCTGTATTATTTATGTAAGATGTTATCAATCATAGACTTTTTAATACCACCATACAAATTTAATAGAATTTATTAGGAATTTCAGAAAACAAAGCTTCATAACTACAACTAATGCATAATTGGAATAACAAAATAGCCTCTTTTTTATTTTTAAATAGAATTAATTTATATACAGTAGCATGCTTGTTGAAAACAATGAAATATTTCCATTCATTAAAAATGTATTCACCAATAAAATACATAATAAAGTATAATTTATAGCATAAACTTAAACTGATCAATTTATCTCCATTACCTATATTATACTTCATTTTTATGATTATAGTGTTTTGAATCATTAATAAATGCAGAAATATATATTTACAGGAGATTCTCAAAAATAATGATTTCATTAAATAGTTGCTGTCACACTTCATCAATATTTTCTTTGCAATCTGGATCCAACATCAGGAGATGGTCGAGGTCTTGGCAGGCTGTTCTGTAACATAGTTTCAGAATATTCCTTTACTAAAGTATTCACAGACTTCGACAAGTAAATCTCTTTATAGAGTACAGATTTTAATAAGACTATGCTCATAATTCAAATTCTAAACCCCATTTACATATCATTCTCAACAAAGTAATTACATAAGGCATCATATTAATTATAATAATCCATGATCTTCATATTTTGCTACTGGTAACATTTATTTAAGAAGTGCTTAATATAATCTGCTGTGAAAATGGTCAAAGTTTGGGGCTGGGGATGTGGCTCAAGCAGTAATGCGCTTGCCTGGCATGCACGGGGCACTGGGTTCGATTCTCAGCACCATATAAAAATAAAATAAAGATATTGTGTCCACTGAAAACTAAAACATAAATATTAAAAAATTTTCTCTCTCTCTCTCTCTCTCTTAATAAAAAATAAAGAAAATGGTCAAAGTTTAATAATTTTATTTTCTACAGGAAGCACTTAGAACCCACATAAGATCCTAAGAGTGTTTAATAATATACTTTGGGCTAAAGAAGTACGTTGCTTGAGAGGGAATTGCTAAAAATTTATTACATTTATTTATTAAAAAAGTAAGTAAAATGATTTAAAATGAAAATTCTTCTAAGAATTTTATACTTTGAAATTTATAATGGCAGTGGCAGGAGTTTTGAGGTTGCCCTTGCAACAATCCTATTACACTGTAATGTTTTCATGTTGCCCCTATTAGAATGCAGGTTACTCTTCCTCTATTTGCAGTCCTAGCAGAATGCCCAATACATGGGAAGTACTCAGACAGTATCTGTTCAATGAATAAAATGAACTAATATGGTAGCTTCTACAAAAAGAAAAGGTCAGGCTGAATGGCTGTCAACAGGGGGAAATTCTAAATTTTGGGGCAGGACAAAGGTTGGACTGAAAAAGCCTTCCCAGATGGATGACACTGGGGCCAAGTCCTGAAGAGTAGGTAGTAGAAAAGCAGATAACAAGGTCTGTGAGGCAGTGGGAACAGCATGGGTCCTGAAAGCTTGCAAGGAGTTATGGGGAGACTTGCCAACTATTCAACAGAAGGTAAGTCATAAGATGGGGAGCAACCAGAGGTAAGGCTGGATGGGTGTTGAATGCATTTCTCTGGAATTTTAATTTATCTTTTAGGTAACAGGTAACAACTGAAGTTAAATTTTAAGCTGGAGAGATTATTCTGGTGATGGTGGTATGAAAGATGCACTTAAGAGAGCAAAGCTGGTGGCAGTTGAAATGGTTCAGATTAAACATGATAAATTCCTTTAAAAAATTGATTATCTAAATAGTAAATATTTATGAGGAACAGTGTGATGCTTTGATATGTGTATGCAATATGTATACATTGTGCATGCTAGGCAAGTGCTATACCACGAGTATACTTTCAGCCTTCCTTAAACTTAGAAGATTTTCATTAACACATAACATTTATACATATTTAAGAGTGTTAGAGTCTGTAAACAAGTCAAGATGGCGCCTGGCATTTTGCAGAGGGAGTGGTTTGTGAAGTAACGCCAAAGTGTGGAGATTCCTTATTGGTTGACTGCTGTATCTAGTTTATGTTAAATAAGATAAGCTGTGTGGAATGTATAAATACCCCTCCGGTCCTACAATAAACGGCTCCCTCTCCTGCTCTATCAATCTACACAATTTCCTCGTCACCCCCCCCCCCCCCCCCCCCGTTATTTTGCTGCAGCCGGACTGCGGCATAACAGACATTGTGTGTTATTTCAGTATATGTTGCAATGTAATGATCAAAACAAGGTAATATTTCCATCTTCTTATTATTACTTTGTTTTTGGAGCCTTCCAGTTCTTCTATTGATCATAAAGTATATATTATTGTGAACATGATAAATTCTTAAACCAGTACACTGTCACATTTGGAAAGAAAGGAATGTATTTGAGGTATATTTAGTGAATATGATTGGAAATACTTAAAGACTTTGGGTAATGGAGAATGAGAAGCCTGGTTAGACAAATATTTCTGTCTGGGAAATTTGATGGAAGATGATATCATTAATTGAAATAAGGATTATTAAAAAAAACTAGAACAGATTTTATGGGAAAGAGAGACAAGTTTAATTCCTGGCTCTATCACTGAACATCTCTGGGACCTTGGGAAAACTACCTGATGTCTGTAGCTCATTTGATTCAGAATAAGGGGGAAACCATGTAGCATAGCACTTTTCAATGGTAGAAACCCAGTAAGTTTAAGTTTCCTTTCTTCTAATTATATCTCAACAATATCCACTTGCCACTAAATAGTATTAATTTATTAAACACTAACACTCATTAAAGAATTTTGGAGTTGGGTGCAATGGCTCATACTTTTAATCCCAGCAACTCAGGAGGCTGAGGCAGGAGAATTGAAAATTTGAGGCCAGAGTCAGCAACTTAATGAAGCCCTGCCTCAGAATAAAAAATAAAAAGGACTGGTAGAGCACTCCTGGATTCAATCCCTAGTACTTGAAAAAAAATGATATTTTATATGGAGTATAAACTCTGCTTCAGACTATTAGAAAAAAAAATTCCAAGTTCAAGTAAATCACTGCATTTTACTGCAATCTAAAGAAAGGAGATAATTTATCTATTTATAAAAAATCATAAAAAGTCAACCAATATTTTCTAAAAATTTTGTATATGCTTGTTTCTATAAAGCATTTAGGGAAGTGGAAAACAATTTAGGCCTCAAGAACACAGTTCCAAAGAAGATTATTCACTTAGAAAAGCAACTAACAAAAATGCCTGTGTAGTTTAAATACAAGATTTGAGATGCTGTATTGATAAGTTCAGAGGAGTGAGAGAGTATCATAAACTAGATTGATTATGGAAGGTCTCATGAGGGAAGAGATATATGTTTGTTCTTAGATAAGTTGAATTTGGAAAGGAGAGAAAACAAATCTAAACTACTAAAGTGCAGTTAGAAATTGGGCATGAACATATGCAAATCATGAGAAAAACATAGAGGCAGAACAGGATATTGCAAACGTGATGGACAAAATATTAAACGTGCCCGGCTGTAATGGAAGATTCACAGTGTAGTGAGAAGGACAAGGAAAAGAAGGGGGAACTACAAATGCTGTTAGAATTATTCCAATTTTTACAAGAAAAAGTTATGCTTTCACTTCAATACTTTCACTAAAATACTCAAATATAAATCTCACATATGTAACTACTTAAATTTCACTCAAGTGCTTTCAGGAATCTTACTTTTTTAGGGGGTGATTTAAACAAGTTAGGTGATCAGAATAATGTCAATAATACTACCAAACACCTATTTAGCATGTTCTATGTTATCGGCACTGTTTCCTCTGTGGGGTAGCTGCTATTACTATTAGAATGATTATGAGTACCATTGAACGGAGAAGGTGGGTTGCAATTATTATTATTCCAATATCTCAGACTTGGATTTGCTCTAAGCAATGGTAGGGTATGCTACAAGAGATACTGAGGAGATTTTCCCATTAAAAATATTTCCCTAACCTAAGTGTTAGTGTCTGATATTCTACAATTAGAAATTTGTTGTTATTATTTCCATTTATTGTCTTTAAAATTATTTAAATATTTATTTTTTTCTTTTTCTTTTTTCTTTCTTTTTTTTTAAATTTTTTATTGTTGGCTGTTCAAAACATTACATAGTTCTTGATATATCATATTTCACACTTTGATTCAAGTGGGTTATGAGCTCCCATTTTTACCCCGTATACAGATTGCAGAATCACATCAGTTACACATCCATTGATTTACATATTGCCATACTTGTGTCTGTTGTGTTCTGTTGCCTTTCCTATCCTCTACTATCCCCCCTCCCCTCCCCTCCCCTCCCCTCCCCTCTTCTCTCTCTGCCCCCTCTACTGACATTCATTTGTCCCCCTTGTATTATTTTTCCCCTTCCCCTCACTTCCTCTTGTATGTACTTTTGTATAACTCTGAGGGTCTCCTTCCATTTCCATGCAATTTCCCTTCTCTCTCCCTTTCCCTCCCACCTCTCATCCCTGTTTAATGTTAATCTTCTTCTCATGCTCTTCGACCCTACTCTGTTCTTAGTTACTCTCCTTATATCAAAGAAGACATTTGGCATTTGTTTTTTAGGGATTGGCTAGCTTCACTTAGCATAATCTGCTCTAATGCCATCCATTTCCCTGTAAATTCTATGATTTTGTCATTTTTTAATGCAGAGTAATACTCCATTGTGTATAAATGCCACATTTTTTTTATCCATTCATCCATTGAAGGGCATCTAGGTTGGTTCCACAGTCTTGCTATTGTGAATTGTGCTGCTATGAACATCGATGTAGCAGTGTCCCTGTAGCATGCTCTTTTTAGGTCTTTAGGGAATAGACCGAGAAGGGGAATAGCTGGGTCAAATGGTGGCTCCATTCCCAGCTTTTCAAGAAATCTCCATACTGCTTTCCAAATTGGCTGCACCAATTTGCAGTCCCACCAGCAATGTACCAGTGTACCCTTTTCCCCACATCCTCGCCAGCACTTGTTGTTGTTTGACGAATGATAATTTAAAAATTTATCCTAAATACTGTGTCACGAATGACAGTTCATTTCTTTCCTTAAGAGAAGAAACCCCAAATCAATACTACTTAGAACTATAGAGGAGGTGGGAAGAAACTAAAGAATGATAAAATGGGAGAGATAGGCCTCTACCCATGAAATAAGTGTGCATATGTTGGGGTGATGGTGAATCATCCTGGGTTTGATCATGGATTAGAAAAATAAAATGGCCACAGAGGACATTTTATTCAAATAACTGGGATATTTTGAATCTGGAATGGATTAGATAATACTATTGTATTCAATATTAGATATCTTGGGTATAATAACAATACTGTTGTTTTGTAGGAGAATATCTTTTTTCTTAGCAGAACATGTATGCCAAAGTATTTAGAGGGGAAGTATCATATGTCTGCAGTCTACTTTTGAACAAGTCATAAAAATGTATCTTCCTGTGTGTATATGTATCTACCTCTATTCTACTTATTTATCCATCCATCCATCCATTTTATAAAGCAAGTATGGCAAAATGTCAATAATTTGGTGAATCTAGGTGAAGAGTAAAGTTAAATTAAATTAAAATAAGGAAAAGGGAAGACAAGAATAAAATATCCAAATCCCCAAGCAAGATATGACAAACCAAGCAAATTTGGTGTAGCTGTTTAAACAGGTAGTTAACCATTCTTTAGTTTTGTATCATTTTCCCTGAAAATAAATTGTTAATGCTGTTGTTAAAATGAAGGAGAGAAAAAATTTGTCAATAAAGACTGAAGAAAGTTAATGATTATCAATTGTCATGAAGACTGAAAAAGATGTAAGATAAAAATGATTTTGGGCTGGGGTTGTAGCTCAGTGGTAGAGTGCTCACCTTGCATGTGGAAGGCACTGGGTTGGATCCTCAGCACCATATAAAAATAAAATGAAGGTATTGTGTCCATCTACAACTAAAAAAATTAAAAGAGTGATTTCAAGTCTACCAGTGTTCCCCAATGCACAACATTAACTTTTCAGTTATTACATATTGTAGCAATATAATAACAAAGTGAATTAAAATGTATAAGAGGGTAATTTTCTGATTAGACAACTTTCTCTCCCTATTGAAGAGTATCTTACTATTCATACTCTGAAGTTGAGCTGAAGTGCACAAAAGAGTGATCTCAGTCATTACAAGTATTATATCACTAAAGTGAAATAAGAATCATTATCATAAATAATAACTGTGTCAGAACTGATAAAAAATGTTCCAAATCTCAGGCACATAAAAATTACCATCATAAACATCACCAAATTGCTGGATATGAAAAATTTAGAGAAAAACTAAGATAGTATGTAAAAAGTAGTCATGGGAAAAAACAATCTATCAGAAGTTAAAGTGACTATTGACAAAGAGTTATGTCCAAAAATCACAACTCAAAAATGCCAAAGGCCACTTTGAAAAACTACATACCTAGAGTTAAATGGTAAGTTTCAAGAGGGCGGAGATAGCTTCTTTCTTACTATCATTCACTATCATAGCCAGAGCACAACAACACTCTAAAACATGGATAAGAAATATTTAACTTTACTTGCATAATCTTATTTTTCCTGTTAAGTTTTCAGAACTGAGGGGGCGTGATAAAGAGTAATTAGATAAGCATTCAATTAATTCTCTAACAAACATTATTTTAATGAATACCTAAATTGAGAATTGTGAAAGTATAAGTAATATCTTAGTTTGAGGACACCCTTTGTCTCCCAATTACTTCTAGCTAAACATACTTTCCTTCTTTGGTTTCTTAAATTTGTAGTTTTGTCTTAGCTTGTATTATAGTTATTTGTATATATTACAAATATATGTCTTTCCCCGTTTGACTGCAAATTCTTGAATGTAGGGACTATTTTTTATTTAAATATTTTTATTTACCAGAGTGTAGTGCCAAGGTAAAAAAAAAAAAGATTCAAGATAGTAATGTTTAGTTTTGAACTCTGAGGACACGGAAGGGATATGGGCCAGGACACAGATCATTACCAAGGTAATCTTAGTAATTTTTCAATTAGGTTACACAACTAAATAAAATTACTTGAAGATTGGTGCACTAATGCTTGTTTCTGATCTCATGACTGATAAAATACTCTGTATATAAAAAGGCTTATATTTTGATTTTCAAAATGAAAGAATATTTGCTTTATTGTAATGAAACATGATAAAAAGAGTTGGTTGGGAGAGTAAAGCTCTAAAAATCAGTATCAAGAAAAACTGATACTAACAAAGGATTCTTACCTTTATTGATGGACACATGAAAATCATGACATTTCCTAAAACAAGAAAAAAAAAAAAAAAGAAAGCTTTTTCAAATACTTACCAGAAGTGGTATTATTTGTAGAGTGTTTTTGATGGATGGATTTTGGCAAATGGTTTCTTGCATATCTGAAAAATTATACCATAACACAAAAATAATTTGTTTACATTTACTGAAAGAAAAGAATGACTAAAGAATCAAATATTACAAAAAAGAATCAAATATTACATTCCAAAATTTCCAAAATATTCAAAATTGAGTAAGACTTTTCTTTCCTGTTGGCCCTCAGTCTTTATTGAGATATTATGTCTTCTTTCTTTTTTTAAACCAAAACAGGAATTTCATCCTTGGAAACTTTTTTTTTCTCAGGAAAAAATATATGTTTATTTAGCTATTGAAGCACAAAAACTTGAGTAATTTTATCAATTCTGGTTTTTTCAATCTTTAGGCTTTGGTCCATACACTAGGAAGAATCTGGGTAAAAGAAAATAATTCATGTAGAATCTTTTATGTGAAGCATTTAAATATAGGAGTACCTAATAGAAATAAAACCTCCAAGTTATTGACTTGAGTTTTTTATTCTTTATCTGCATAATTTTACATCTTAAAGGGATAGCCTTAGTTCTGTGTTTTTGTGTTTTAGTTTTCTGCTTTCTATATCATTTTAAAATTCAGTTTTAATTTTGAAGTTAACATGCAGAGTATATAAAACATATGCATATTTTAATTAATAATAATAAAGTTAATGTCTGTGTAACTACCTATTGAATTGATCACTACTTTAGAAACTTCCTTGGGCTGGGGTTGTGGCTTAGCAGTAGAGTGTTCACCTAGCATGTGCAAAGCCCTGGGTTCGATCCTTAGCATCACATAAAAATAAATAAATAAAGGTATTGTGTTCAACTATACCTAAAAAATAAAAAATAAAAATTTTTAAAGAAACTTCTTGGAGCTCTCTGCCCCCATACTACCCTATACTGAGTTTCTTGCTTTGTTGTTTTAGCACGTGTATACATCCCCCAAACAACAATTTATTTTTAACTATTTTTGTAATGGATTTATTCTTTTGTTTTTTAACTCAAAATTATATATTTTAAGATTCATCAGGATGATGTGTGTAGCTATAATTTGTATGTCTTCCTTGCTGAATAATATTCTATCATAAATATACTTTAAATTTTTTTTATTTTTGAATTTTATAAATAATGATCTCCACATTCTTATACATATATCTCCTGACAGGCATGTGCAGGATTTTCTGTAGAGCATACACATTTAGAAGTGAAATTGCTGGGCTGTAAGGTATGTTCATGTTTAACTTAGATGGTGACAAAACTTCCTAAAAGGATTGCACCAGTTTACCCTCCCACAGTATTACATGAGAGCTGCTATTGCTGCACATCTTTCCCAATACATAGGATTCTCAGTTTTTTAACCTTCAGTCTTTCTGATGAATATGTAACTAGAACTCATCATTTTAATTTGCATTTCTCTATTACTAGTGAAATTGAGCATTTAAATCAATGTTTATTGTTATTTACATTTCCTTTGTTGTGAAGTTCCCATTCAAAATCTTTTTTGGTTCCATTTTTCTACTGGGTTGTCTTTTTTTCCTCATTAATTTATAGGCATTCTTCACATGGTTTAAATGAGTCCTTTATTCTCTGTTATATTTTCTATCACTTTGTGGCTTTTTCATTCTTTTAACTGTATTTTGATATGAGGTTTGTGATTTTAATATAGTCAGATTTATTTTTTTCTTTTATAGATTGTATTTCTTGTGCTTAAGAAATCCTTCCTTATCTTGAGGTTAGAAATATTTTATTATCTCTTAAAAACTTTATTTTCTTTTATATTTAATATTTAATTACATGGAACTGATTTTTATGTCTAGTACACACTAGAAGTTCCATTTAATTTCTTGCTATTTAGTATTATTACAATGTTTTTGAAAATAATCCCAGAATTTCTTCATATCTTTTCTGGCAATATGATATCTGGAATTCAAAAGCAGGTTTTTACCTTAAGTGAGGGGGACTGTATCTAAATCCAACTTCCTTTGCAATTAGTAGTTCTTCTTTCCAACAAAAAAGGATGTAACTTTTAACATTGGGATTCTAATTGTATGTTCTCAGCCATAGGGTATTTTTGCCATCCAGGGGACGTTTGGCAATGTATGGAGACACTTGGTTGTCATGACTGGGAGGTGCTATGTCATGTAATGGGTAGAGACCAGATAAGCTGCTAAACACTTTATAATGTATAAGATACCCCCTACAATAAAGAATTATCCATTCCTTAGACTGGGGATGTAACTCAGTGATAAAGTGTTTGCATAGCGTGTGTGAGGCCCTAGGTTTGATTCCCAGTACCATTAAAAAACAACCAGAATTACTGAATTCAAAATGTCAATGGTGCATAGGTAAAGAGGTCCTGATAAAAACAAATACTCACAAAATATTTTTATTATTGTTCACATGTAAATATTTTGTAATTTTTATTATGTATATATATTTTTTGAGAATAAAAAAAAATGTGTTTCTTGCCAGGAGTGGTGCTACACGCCTATAATCTTAGCAACGAGGGAGGCTGAGGCATGAGGGCAAGTTTGAGACCAACCTCAGCAACTTAGCAAGAGCCTTTTTGAAAATAAGAAAAAAAAAGGGCTGGGAATTAGCTCCATGGTAAAGCATCTGGATTCAATCTCCAGTACTGGGGTAAAAATGTTTCTTAATGGTAATCTTTTTGTTATTAATGGTTCACTTTTGTTATTAGATTTTATCTAAATTGTATTGCAGCCAGGATATAGCCTGCATGACTCTAATCCTTTGAAAGCTGTTAAAACTTATTTTATGGTATCATATGTGATTTATATTATAAATGTTCTGTGTGTGCTTATGAAAAATGTGTCTTTCTGATCAAATTTGTTAATTATGTTCAATTCTTTCACATCTATTGTACTTTTTCTATTTGTTCTATCAAGTACTGACAATGGTAGGTTAAAATCTTCTACTACCATTGGAAATATTTCATTTGTTTTTTGGTGCTGGGGATTGAACCCAGAACTTCATGCTTGCTAAATATGCACGGTAAATACATACTGCAACACCAAGCTACACCTCCAGCCTTAAAACATATTTGAGGCTATTCTTTTTTTATTAAATTATTTATTTATTCTAATTTGTTATACATGATGGCAGAATGCAATTCATTTCATATTAGACATATAGAGCACAATTTTTCAAGTCAAGATTGTACACAAAGTACTTTCACACCATTCATATCTTTATACATATACTTAGGGTAAGGATGTCAAACTCATTCCACCATCATTCCTACCTCCTTATCCCCTCCTTTCCTCTCCCTCCCCTTTGCTCTATCTATAGAGTTCCTCCATTCCTCCCTTGCTCCCTGCCCCATCACCATTATGAGCCAGCATTCTCATATCAAAGAAAACATTTGGCCATTGGTTTTTTGGGATTGGCTTGCTTCACTTAGCATTTTATGCTCCAACTTCATCCATTTACCTGCAAATACCATGATTTTATCCTCTTTTAATGCTGAGTAATATTCCATTATGTATGTATACCAAAGTTTCCCTATCCATTGGATACTGGAGGGAATCTAGGTTGGTTCCATAATTTAGATATTGTGAATTGTGCTGCTGAGGCTATATTCTTAATTTCATATAAAACATTTTATGTATTTCTCCTATATTAAAACTTTGATCATCATGAAGTAATCTGTCTATATAGCTTTCTACTGTATAGTCAATTTTGTCTGATAATATTACATTTAAACTAGCTTTGGTTATTATTTGCTTTTTACATATTTTTCATCTTTTTGGTTTTCTGTTTTTCTATATTCTTATGTTTTGAATACGTGGTTTAGAAATAGAATATAATTTTATCATAAAATTCCATTTGACAAATTTTGTCTTTTAAGTGTAGCATTTAATCCATTTACACATATTGTAAATATATTTGTACATACCATCTTATAGGATAGTATTTCCATTTGTTCTACCTCTTCTATGTTTTTATTTTCTTTCTTGTTTTATTTTGGATTAATCTAGTATTTTTTGAATGCCACTTTCCCTTCCTTACTAGTTTGAAAGTTGTATATTATATTTCTAGTCTTTTAGATGTCACTCTAATAATTACTAGAGGTATATTTCAATTATCAGCATTTAAACTTAATCCGTATCTTTACCCTATTCCTTATCAAGAATCCTAGTGTATATTACCTCTATTTGTTTTCCCAACTTATGTATATTTATAGGTATTTTAATTCTAAATCTTAAACACATGATGCTTTGTTATACTTTTTAAATAAAATGTTTGTTCAAATTAACTCAGATTAATTTCTATCTGCTAAAGTGCATTTGTTAGAATTTCCTTAGTGTCTATTTACTAAGTTTTTGTCTGAACATATTTTTAATTTGCTCTGATTTTTGAGAGACATTTTCACCTTGAAAGATTTTAAGTTTAGTACATTGAACACATTGTTTAATATCTTCTGATATCTTTAATGTTTTCTGCCATCTTTGTTACTGATTAAAATTTACTGTGATGTGTCTTGGTGAGAATTTCTTTTCTTTGTGCTGGGGACTGAAACCATACAAGGGGACTTCTTTTTATTTACTCTGAAATGTGTTAGGTTTTTGAATTTGTAGGTTGGTATTGTTCATCAGATTGGAAAAATTGCCAGCTGCTATTACTTCACATATTGCTTGTGGCCTACTTCAGACTTTCTTATTCCTTTGTCTTTTAAACTCTTAAATTCCCATCTCTTTGTGTCTTTGTACTTTATTCTGGATAAGTTTCTTTGATTTATATTCCAGTTTACTAATTCTTTCTTCAGATGTCTGTAATCTGCTGAATTTTGAATTTCAATTATTATATTTTTCATTTCTAGGCATTCTGTTTGGCCCATTTTTTTTTTCAAATCTGCTTGGTCATTCTTTATAATACTTTCTTATTCTCTGACTGGATTTTTAAACACAGTTCTGATTACTTTAAAACATATAAATGTAGTTATAGCCTGTGTCTGGTAATATCATTATCTAAAACACTGTTTGGGTCTGTTTATTTGGTCTTGTGGTTTCTTTTGATTTTTTAATGGTGCCTTTTTCTTTGTGGATCAAGTTATTTTATCTTATTTTTATTTATTTTTTAATTGTGGGCTGCTTATTTTTCTTTGTGATAATTCTTTGAAAACTAAAATATGAGTAGGTTTCTACAAGGGACACAAATTTACTTTTCTTTCAGATATTTTGGGCTGTTACTAGATTGAGGTCATTCTAAATTAAATTCTTTGTTTGAGACTTTAAAGACCACTCAAGTGGTGTGAATATGGCTTGTAAATTTGTGTGGTAGTTATACTACATGGTGGTTCTAAATTCTCATGGATTTCTCTCTGACCCCTCATCTGCTCAATACTGAAGTTCAAGAATTACAAGTTTCTTTCTTTTTCTTTTCTTTTTTACCCTTCCCTCCTTTCTGTGTATGTGCAATGCATAGATCTTTGTACGGTACGGCTTTATGTGGGAGGCTCTTTTATGAGACTACTAATCTTCAGTGGGCCCTGGGTTTCATCTTCTGTCCCCTCTATGTTGTTTTTATACTCTCTGAGTCTTACTGTGGGCTGCTCTTTTTCCTTGGATTTCACTTGTGAAATGAAAATATCCTGAGTTAAATATGCTCAGAATATAAACTAACTGAAGCATTCTCCTTCTCTTTCTGAGTTCTTACGAATTTCTGAGAATTTGTTATATTCTCGCTAGCTCATTGTTATATTTAGAGTTTAAAATACTTAATCAAGAATTTATAGTTGTTTTCATGGATGGTCAATATAGGTACCCTGCCTGTCCATGTTCATATGTTTCTCGAACACAGTAAGGCTTTTGGTATCATCATAAATGATGTCATAAATGATATGGTATACTTGAAGCAGTATGATTTCATTCAGATAAATTCTTAATTTGTATATACTCCATTAATCTAGATAGATGTTGCATTTTTATTTTTTATTTTATTTTATTTTTGGTACCAGGGATTGAACCCAGGGGCAGTTGACTACTGAGCTACATCCCCAGCCCTATTTTGTATTTTATTTAGAGACGAATCTCACTGAATTGCTTAGTTGCTTTTCCTGAGTCTGGCTTTGAATTCGCAATCTTCTTGCCACATCCTCCCAAGCCTCTAGGATTATAGATGTGTGCCACATTGATTTTTAAAAATTAGATTAAGATTAAAATGAAAATAGTCTAATTTCAAAACACCACATTTTCCACAAAGGATATTCTTCCACACTTACAGCGTAGCCTTCCATTCAAATGATTAAGGGATTGTAGGATCTTTTGTTCTTCAGCTGATAGTGTACAGATGTTGAATTGCTGGGTCTTACTTAAATTCAGATTTGATTTCTGTAGTTGCTTGCTATTCATGACAGTTAGAATTTCATCCTCAGGTACTGATGCTTCCACTAGGTTTTCAGCTGTCAAAAACTCAGAAGTACTGTCTGAAACTACAGAAACTTTATATCAATTATTCTTTGATCCCTTTATGTTTTTGGAATCAGCCCTTATACGTATTAGGCTGAATTATGTGTGTATACATTATTTCACAAATAGAAATACAGTATATATTCTATTACTTGCATTTTATATGTTAGGATCCTTGGTATGTAGCATTTTCCTATCCTTAATTTAAAAAAAAATCCCAAATAATAGAAATGAGGCAATAGAAATCTTTAGAGTATTACCTAAATAAAAGAATAAAATATACTAGATTTAGATAATTTTTGTGTTATTTTTTTACTCATTGATGGTACAAAGATAATATAAAGGAAATTGTCTTTTTAGTAGCAGTTAAAATTAACTATAAACAAAAGAATAAGAGAAAAGGAACATAGAAGAGAAAATTAGATGATCAGCTGAACAGAATTGATAGCCTAGAAACAGACCCAATTAGATTAAGAGTATATGATCAAAGAAGCATTAAAGACTTGAAAGAAGGGAAAGATGACTCAATAAATTAGTTTGATGCTTAATAAAGAGCTTAATTTAGAGTTTCATTTGCCACCATTCATCTAAGAAATTCCAGTAATTGAAGAGTTAAATTTAAGGAATCAAACTATTAAAACAACCTATATGAAAAGGAAATATCTGTAAATTTCTGTACTGAGAGTTTTTTTGAATTTAAAAATAATGGAGAAATCGTTAAGAAAAGGTTAACACATGTTTATCTAAGGTTGGGCCAATCTTCCCTGACATACTTTAATTTCTGGAGGGCAAGGCTATTGTATGTTTTGTTCATACTTTATAACCCAATATTTACTTGTAAGCAGAAAATTAGCTCTTAATAATCATTTATTGAGTGAATAAATGAAAATTAATACTTACATATGTAAAAATACAAAATAAGTGTAATATAATAAAAATAACCAAGCAATGAAAACATTTTATTCAAGAATTTATAAAAATTATCAAGAAATTTTCAAAATTCTAATACCATACACCAACAAGACATAACAATCATAAATATTTATGCCCCAAACAATGGTGCAGCTATGTTCGTCAAACAAACTCTTCTCAAGTTCAAGAGTCTAATAGACCACCACACCATAATCATGGGAGACTTCAACACACCTCTCTCGCCACTGGACAGATCTTCCAAACAAAAGTTGAATAAGGAAACTATAGAACTCAATAACACTATTAATAACCTAGACCTAATTGACATATATAGAGTATACCACCCAACATCAAGCAGTTACACTTTTTTCTCAGCAGCACATGGATCCTTCTCAAAAATAGATCATATATTATGTCACAGGGCAACTCTTAGACAATATAAAGGAGTAGAGATATTACCATGCATCTTATCTGATCATAATGGAATGAAACTGAAAATCAACGATAAAAGAAGGAAGGAAAAAGCATACATCAATTGGAGAATGAACAATAGGTTACTGAATGATCAATGGGTTATAGAAGACATCAAGGAGGAAATTAAAAAATTCTTAGAGATAAATGAAAACACAGACACAACATATCGGAATCTATGGGACACATTGAAAGCAGTTCTAAGAGGAAAATTCATTGCTTGGAGTTCATTCCTTAAAAAAAGAAAAAACCAACAAATAAATGATCTCATACTTCATCTCAAAATCCTTGAAAAAGAAGAGCAAAACAACAGCAAAAGAAGTAGAAGGCAAGAAATAATTAAAATCAGAGCTGAAATTAATGAAATCGAAACAAAAGAAACAATTGAAAAAATTGACAAAACTAAAAGTTGGTTCTTTGAAAAAATAAACAAAATCGACAGACCCTTAGCGATGCTAGTGAAGAGAAGAAGAGAGAGAACTCAAATTACTAGCATACGGGATGAAAAAGGCAATATCACAACAGACACTTCAGAAATACAGAAGATAATCAAAAACTATTTTGAATCCTTATACTCCAATAAATTAGAAGATAGTGAAGGCATAGATAAATTTCTTAAGTCATATGATCTGCCCAGATTGAGTCAGGAGGATATAGAAAACCTAAACAGACCAATATCAATTGAGGAGATAGAAGAAACCATAAAAAGACTACCCACTAAGAAAAGCCCAGGTCCCGATGGGTATACAGCAGAATTTTACAAAACCTTTAAAGAAGAACTAATACCAATACTTTTCAAGCTACTTCAGGAAATAGAAAAGGAGGGAGAACTTCCAAATTCATTCTATGAGGCCAACATCACCCTGATACCTAAACCAGACAAAGACACTTCAAAGAAAGAAAACTACAGACCAATATCTCTAATGAACCTAGATGCAAAAATCCTCAATAAAATTCTGGCGAATCGGATACAAAAACATATAAAAAAAATTGTACACCATGATCAAGTAGGATTCATCCCTGGGATGCAAGGCTGGTTCAATATACGGAAATCAATAAATGTTATTCACCACATCAATAGACTTAAAAATAAGAACCATATGATCATCTCGATAGATGCGGAAAAAGCATTTGACAAAGTACAGCATCCCTTTATGTTCAAAACTCTAGAAAAACTAGGGATAACAGGAACATACCTCAATATTGTAAAAGCAATCTATGCTAAGCCTCAGGCTAGCATTATTCTGAATGGAGAAAAACTGAAGGCATTCCCTCTAAAATCTGGAACAAGACAGGGATGCCCTCTCTCTCCACTTCTCTTCAACATAGTTCTCGAAACACTGGCCAGAGCAATTAGACAGACGAAAGAAATTAAAGGCATCAAAATAGGAAAAGAAGAAATTAAATTATCACTATTTGCAGATGATATGATTCTATATCTAGCAGACCCAAAAGGCTCTACAAAGAAACTATTAGAGCTAATAAATGAATTCAGCAAAGTGGCAGGATTTAAAATCAACACGCATAAATCAAAGGCATTCCTGTATATCAGCGACAAATCCTCTGAAATGGAAATGAGGACAACCACTCCATTCAAAATATCTTCAAAAAAAATAAAATACTTGGGAATCAACCTAACAAAAGAGGTGAAAGACTTATACAATGAAAACTACAGAACCCTAAAGAGAGAAATAGAAGAAGATCTTAGAAGATGGAAAAATATACCCTGTTCATGGATAGGCAGAACTAACATCATCAAAATGGCGATATTACCAAAAGTTCTCTATAGGTTTAATGCAATGCCAATCAAAATCCCAATGGCATTTCTTGTAGAAATAGAGAAAGCAATCATGAAATTCATATGGAAAAATAAAAGACCCAGAATAGCAAAAACAATGCTAAGCAAGAAGTGTGAATCAGGCAGTATAGCGATACCAGACTTCAAACTATACTACAGAGCAATAGTAACAAAAACAGCATGGTACTGGTACCAAAACAGGCGTGTGGACCAATGGTACAGAATAGAGGACACAGAAACCAATCCACAAAACTACAACTATCTTATATTTGATAAAGGGGCTAAAAGCATGCAATGGAGGAAGGATAGCATCTTCAACAAATGGTGCTGGGAAAACTGGAAATCCATATGCAACAAAATGAAACTGAATCCCTTTCTCTCGCCATGCACAAAAGTGAATTCAAAATGGATCAAGGAACTTGATATCAAATCAGAGACGCGCCGTCTGATAGAAGAAAAAGTTGGCTACGATCTACATACTGTGGGGTCGGGCTCCAAATTCCTCAATAGGACACCCATAGCACAAAAGTTAATAACTAGAATCAACAAATGGGACTTACTCAAACTAAGAAGTTTTTTCTCAGCAAAAGAAACAATAAGAGAGGTAAATAGGGAGCCTACATCCTGGGAACAAATCTTTACTCCTCACACTTCAGATAGAGCCCTAATATCCAGAGTATACAAAGAACTCAAAAAATTAGACAATAAGAGAACAAACAACCCAATCAACAAATGGGCCAAGGACCTGAACAGACACTTCACAGAGGAGGACATACAGTCAATCAACAAGTACATGAAAAAATGCTCAACATCTCTAGCTGTCAGAGAAATGCAAATCAAAACCACCCTAAGATACCATCTCACTCCAGTAAGATTGGCAGCCATTAGGAAGTCAAACAACAACAAGTGCTGGCGAGGATGTGGGGAAAAGGGTACACTTGTACATTGCTGGTGGGACTGCAGATTGGTGCAGCCAATTTGGAAAGCAGTATGGAGATTTCTTGGAAAGCTGGGAATGGAGCCACCATTTGACCCAGCTATTCCCCTTCTTGGTCTATTCCCTAAAGACCTAAAAAGAGCATGCTACAGGGACACTGCTACATCGATGTTCATAGCAGCACAGTTCACAATAGCAAGACTGTGGAACCAACCTAGATGCCCTTCAATAGACGAATGGATAAAAAAAATGTGGCATTTATACACAATGGAGTATTACTCTGCATTAAAAAATGACAAAATCATAGAATTTACAGGGAAATGGATGGCATTAGAGCAGATTATGCTAAGTGAAGCTAGCCAATCCCTAAAAAACAAATGCCAAATGTCTTCTTTGATATAAGGAAAGTAACTAAGAACAGAGTAGGGACGAAGAACAGGAGAAGAAGATTAACATTTAACAGGGATGAGAGGTGGGAGGGAAAGGGAGAGAGAAGGTAAATTGCACGGTAATGGAAGGAGACCCTCAGGGTTATACAGTGGAGGGGGTAGAGAGAGAGGAGGGGAGGGGAGGGGAGAGGTGGGGAGGGGGGAGGGTGGATGATGGGAAAGGCAGCGGAGCACAACAGACACTAGTATGGCAATTTGTAAATCAATGGATGTGTAACTGATGTGAATCTGCAATCTGTGTATGGGGTGAAGGTGGGAGTTCATAACCCACTAGAATCAAAGTGTGGAATATGATATGTCAAGAAATTTGTAATGTTTTGAACAACCCACAATAAAAAATTAAAAAAAAAAAAAAAAAAAAAAAAAAAGAAATTTTCAAAATTCTAATACATATGGAAAAATAAGATGAAGAGACAATTTACCAAAAAATACATAAAAAATTAAGTATATTATTATTAAAATATAAAATAAAAACTAATATAACACCATTTCTTTGCCTATCATATAAGCATGATTAGAAGTGATTCTTTAAATTGACATATACCACTGAGAGAATTTCTAAAGGTAATACTTTTTTGGAAATACTTTAGCAATATGTTTGAAAAGCTGTATCAATATGTCTTTCCTTTGATCCAGTTATCATTTAATTATTTGTAGTTTCATTAACAAATATTTATTAGGTGCCAATTACATGCCAGATACTGTAATTTTAATTCTGGGAATCTATCCTACAGAAATAATTGTCAAGTCAGGAAATAATTTGCTGTAGAAAAGATGATCAATGAATTGTTATTATGAATGAAGAAAAACTGGCAATGAACTAAGTGTGTAGGGGTGAGGAAAAGTTCAGGTCCTAAATGGTGTTTTAGCATTCACATAAAATGTAAGCAACTGAGAAGATCCACATAAGAAAAGAAAATTGTTGGAAACAAAACTCTGAAGAAAATGTATAGACCAATACCTTCTCCATCATTAGAAGTACCCCTTGTAGTTAGTTTTGGCTCATTTGAACTTAGCTGGGCACTTTGTCCAAAATTCTATAAAAATAGGATAGTAAATCAGAACATGATTCAACATTTAAAATTTATGATATATACATGAACTTAAAATTTTTTAAATTGCTGCCTATATTTTTTTAATCAGAAATTTATTAGTTGCTCAAAACATTACATTGATCTTGACATATCATATATCATACATTTGTTTCAAATGGGGTATGAATTCTTATTATTGCTGCCTGTATTTTCAGCTGTCATTATTTAATAACAAAATTATCACCAATAACCCTTGAAAATTGTGGTGAGCCGCTTCTGCCGTTTCTGCAGATTATGGTCGCCATTACAAGATGGCGCTGGCTCCGCTGTGGTCTGTGACAAACAATTTCTTATCTGGGAAAGTTGGCACATGATTTTTCACCACCCTGTGAGAAAGTTCCACGCGGCAGCTTTGCATTGGGGCTTGGGATGCTTTATTAAGGCTGGGAGGGGCACCCGAGGAAGAAGAAGAAATATCCAGGGACCTGAATAAACTGTTGAGAGAAGATTCTCGAGAGTTGCGTCTTCCTTGCGGGCAAGGGGGTCGCGACAAGTGGCGCCGAAACCCGGGAACCAGAACTTTCAACAGTCAGGGGTGGTGCACCGGTTAGTCCCAGGTAAGTGGGATCCGCGACCAAAGCGGGGTTAGTCCCAATAAGTGGGATCCGCGATCAAAGCGGGGTTAGTCCCAATAAGTGGGATCCGCGATCAAAGCGGGGTTAGTCCCTAGTAAGTGGGATCCGCGACCAAAGCGGGACAGCTCCTCTGTAATGAAAGAGAGAGCCTTATATTTTATTGCAGCTGCACTGTGTACTTTCGCTCCTACTTTCGCTTTCCTTTTTTTGTGCTTTCTTTGTTGTTGCGTCATGGGTGCCGCATCTTCAAGTCCGCTTCTCCTGGCCCTAGATGGCCTGTTACGTTCCAAGGGACTGGAAGTGAAACATAGTACTTTACAGAGATTTTTACAGAAGATAGATATCGCTGCACCGTGGTTCGCATTTTCGGGCAGCCTTACTGTGCCTAGTTGGGATAAATTAGGCAAAGATCTTGACTTTGCTTCTGAGCAGGGCATATTAGAGGGTGGGGTGATACCCCTTTGGAAAATGGTCCGTAGTTGCCTTACAGATGATAGATGTCAGGAAGCACTTACTAAAGGACAGGAGGTTTTAGAGCGATTGCATGAGGAAAAATCGGAGATGGCAGAAAGTGAAGCGACTCGGGAGGATGGGAGTGTGCAGAGCATGAGACGGGGGAGGAAACGGTTGTATCCAGATCTCAGTACGCTGCGTACACCCCCATGCGAAAGTGGGTCAGAGGAGGAGGAGGATGAGGAGGAAGAGCTCGAGAGGCTGTCTCGTCAGCTAGGGAGTTTAGCTGTAGGAGAAGGGAACACAGATAAGCAAGGGCTCAAGAAAAGCGATCCCCCGGATCCACCGCCGGATGGCGGGGGCGTTTCGGGAAGAGCTTTCCATGCCCAAACATGGAGGGCTGTTCACGCTGAGATGGGTCTTGCTTATCCAGTTTTTCAGGATGACAACAGGGGAAGAGTCCATGAACCCTTAGATTTTAAAATTGTGAAGACCCTGGCGGAGTCTGTACGCACTTATGGGGTGGATGCCGCCTTCACGCTGACTCAGGTGGAAAATCTGTCTAGATACTGTATGACTCCCTCTGATTGGGCTAGCCTTGTTCGGGCTTGCGTTTCCCCGGGTAAATATTTGGACTGGAGAGCATTCGTGCTAGAGGGCGCAATAGAGCAGGCCGCCCAAAACCATGCAGCGGGACGCCCCCATTGGGACAAGGATATGCTCTTGGGACAGGGTAGATTTGCAAATCAACAGACAGGATTTCCTCTTGAGGCATATGATCAAATTAACAATATTTGTATTCGGGCATGGAAGTCGCTTCCAAATAGAGGAGAGGTGTCTGGCAATTTGACCAAGATTCTACAAGGCCCTACAGAACCTTTTTCAGATTTTGTAGCAAGGATGGTGGATGCTGCTGGAAAGATTTTTGGGGATCCTGATAGAGCCATGCCCCTTATCAAGCAATTGGTCTTTGAACAATGCACCAAGGAATGTAAAGCGGCAATCACTCCTTATAAAAATAAGGGCATAGAAGCATGGATGAAAGTGTGTAGAGAGATTGGAGGACCTCTAACTAATGCAGGTCTTGCAGCTGCTGTCCTTCGGGTGGCAAAAGGGGGCAATCCTGGTGCCGGAACATGCTTCCATTGTGGTCAGCCCGGTCATTTCAGACGTGAATGTCCTAAAAAAGATAATTTTACTGGACCCCCTCACGGTGGCCCTTCCAATGGCTTTCGTCAACCAGGGCTGTGTCCAAAATGTAAAAAAGGGAAGCATTGGGCAAAAGAGTGTAGATCAATGAGGGACATCCATGGACAGCCTATTTCAGCTGGGCCAAAAAACGGCCGAAGGGGCCCCCGACCCCAGGGCCCACAAATATATGGGGCAATGGAGAATGTCACACCCAAACCCGAGACATGGCCATCTCTACGCCATCCCATGAGACGCGGAGAGCCACTACAGGTGCCGCGGGATTGGACCTCTGTTCCACCTCCAGACTCGTATTAACACCTAAGATGGGAGTCCAATTGGTGGAAACTGAGTTCAAAGGGCCTTTACCGCCTGGCACTGTAGGTTTGCTAATTGGACGTGCATCTTCTACTTTGCAAGGTCTTCATGTCTTTCCTGGAGTTATTAGCCCTGATACTGTAGGGACAATAAAAGTTATGGTGGAAGCTCCAAGGGGCATTGTATCTATTTCCCCAGGAGACCGGATTGCCCAATTGTTACTTCTACCCAGCCTGCATACCCGCTTTTCTGCTGATTCCTTTTCAAGGACAAGTGATGAGATTGGAGTTACTGGAGGGAATTCTGTTTATTTGTCCTTAGATATGAATGACCGTCCTACTTTAAACTTAACCATAGAAGGCAAATCAATTTTGGGATTGCTCGATACTGGAGCAGATCGTAGTATAATTGCACAAAAGGACTGGTCAAAGGGGTGGCCGGTGCAGCTCTCAGATCAATCACTGAGAGGTTTGGGATATGCCCAAGCCCCTCAAATCAGCTGTAGACATCTATCTTGGAAGGACCCAGAAGGACACAATGGCACTTTTCAGCCTTATGTACTTGATTTACCTATCTCTTTATGGGGTCGTGATCTGATGAAAGACATGGGGTTCACTCTTAGTAATGACTATTCCCCGGCGTCTCAACAGATTATGCAAAATATGGGGTATAGGCCAGGTCTAGGACTAGGAAAACATCTACAGGGGCGTAGGCATCCTGTGCAAGGTCATCAAAAGCTTAACAGATTTGGTCTGGGTTTTTCCTAGGGGCCACTGGGGCTCAAATACCCATAACATGGCTCACCGAGGAGCCTGTTTGGGTGCCTCAGTGGCCTCTTCCCTCGGTTAAATTGGCAGCAGCCCATAATTTAATCAAAGAACAACTGGACTTGGGTCACATCCAACCTTCCACTTCTCCATGGAATACTCCCATATTTGTTATTAGGAAAAAATCAGGAAAGTGGCGCCTACTGCATGATTTACGAGCAGTTAATGCTCAAATGCAACTTATGGGGCCCATTCAAAGAGGGCTGCCTCTGCTCTCCTCTATTCCTCAGGGCTGGCATATTATTGCTATTGACATTAAAGACTGTTTCTTTTCTATTCCTTTGCATCCTAAAGACTCACAACGTTTTGCTTTCACCCTTCCCTCGTGTAACCACGAGGAGCCAGATCTTAGGTTTGAGTGGGTAGTGTTGCCGCAGGGAATGGCTAATAGTCCCACGATGTGCCAGATGTATGTGGGGAAGGCACTCGCACCTCTCAGACATAAGTATTCCTCCATCAAGATCATTCATTATATGGATGATGTGTTATTGGCCGCTAAGTTAGAGCAGATAGTTAATGAGGCCTATAGAGACTTAGTAAAGCTGTTAGCTCAATATGGGCTACATATCGCACCTGAAAAGGTTCAAACGGGGAATTCTATTGAGTATTTGGGAGCAATCATTGGGCATGACAAATTGAAACCACAAAAAATCACCATAAGAACTCAGGATCTCCAAACTCTGAATGATTTTCAAAAACTGCTGGGAGATATTAATTGGATAAGGGGATATTTACATATTCCTAATGGTGTGCTCCAGCCTTTGTATGCTACCCTTAAGGGTGATCCAGATCTTGCTTCTCCTCGTAGCCTCACCAAAGAGGCCAGGGCAGCCCTTATAACAGTAGAAGAAGCTATACAACATGCTACTCTATGCAGGCTCCGCAGTGATAAACCTTTCCAGTTATGTGTGCTTGCCACTATGCGGCAGCCTACTGGAGTACTGTGGCAAGATGGGCCTTTACTATGGATCCACCCACATATATCCCCAGGAAAATCTTTAGAATACTATCCTGATGCTGTTGCAGCGTTAGCACTTAAAGGGATCCACCAAAGCATTCAATTTTTCGGACAATCACCTTCTTCTCTTATTATACCCTATACTAAGGCTCAGCTTAATGTTTTGTGTGCTACTCTAGACAACTGGGCTATTCTATGTTGCTCGTTTCAAGGGGATATTGATAATCATTACCCTTCCCATCCATTACTCCATTTTGTTAAAGAACATCCCATCATTTTCCCTAAGGTAACTTCACCCAACCCAATTCCGGGGGCTGTTAATATTTTCACTGATGGTTCCAAGTCTGGAATGGGAGCTTATGTAATTAATGATTCTCCCCCTGTTCAGCATCAATTTGCTCCTGGTAATCCACAATGGGTTGAACTGCAAATTGTTATTGAGGTTTTTAAACAATGTTCTTTTCCTTTTAATCTTATCTCGGACTCCATTTATGTGGTACAAGCACTCAAAGTCCTGGAGGCCGTGGGAGCTATTAGTAATGCCCATAATGTATCTGCTTACTTTAATCAGCTTCAACAACTTATCTGTAGCCGCACTGCTCCTTTTTATCCAATGCACATACGGGCTCACACCTCTCTTCCTGGTCCGTTATCACAGGGTAATGCCTGTGCAGACTCAGCCACTAGAGACCAGTTGATATGCTTGGCTTCCTCCTTAGAGGGGGCTAAATTATTTCACCAGAATTTCCATGTTAATGCTTTAACGCTGCGCAGGCGTTTTTCCATTTCAAGAGCGGATGCTCGTCAGATAGTATTACAATGTCCCCATTGTGTCACATTTCTTCATCCCCCTACTTATGGAGTGAACCCACGGGGATTGAAGCCATTGGTTGTCTGGCAAATGGATGTGACGCACATACCTGACTTTGGTAACCTCAAGTATGTACATGTTTCTGTTGATACGTGCTCTGGAGTTATTCATGCCTCTGCTTTGTCGGGAGAGAAGGCACGTAATGTTATTACTCATTGCCTAGAAGCATGGGCAGCATGGGGTGCTCCTGCATCCCTTAAGACTGATAATGGACCTGCTTATACTGGCAAACAATTTACATCCTTTTGTTCTACCATGGGAGTGCAGCTTACTCATGGTCTGCCTTACAATCCTCAAGGACAAGGCATTGTTGAGCGTGCTCATCGCACCTTAAAGGAAACTTTACAAAAACAAAAAGGGGGAATAGGAGCTGAACACACTCCTAAAGAACGCCTGTCCTTAGCTCTCTTTACCATTAATTTTTTAAATTTGGATATTCATGGTCACTCTGTGGCCGATAGACATGTGTCCCCTCAGCCCTCTGTGTTTGGCTATGTTAAGTGGAAGGATGTTCTTACGGGCCAATGGAACGGCCCCGACCCCGTGCTGACATGGGCACGAGGATCTGTATGTGTTTTTCCCCAGGATCGCACGGAGCCGTTGTGGGTCCCTGAACGTCTGACAAGAAGAGTCTTGACATCAACCGACCAACAACAAGAGATACCACAGCAACCCTGTGATGAGGATCTTCACTCTGCTACGTGCTCTGGTTCTGGTGCTGGTGCCGATGGCACAGACGACACCAATGCAGTGGTGGGCAGTGGCACGGGCTTGGCCAATGCCGATGCCGGTTCATGGTAGTTCTAGTGTCCTCCCCACTCTTTTCTCTACCTCATGTGAGATGTCTGCTCCCTGTGCCTCTCCTAGAGGGGACGTGGAGAGCATTTTTAATCAATCTCAGGTTAATCTCACAGGAGTTTTTTGTTTCAGCCTTGGAAACGCTAATTGCATCAGCCTTAAGACCAAAAATTTGACTAACTGGGAGGATCCATTGCGGTCCAATCAGGTCTCAGGGAGTATTATTAATGCCGTACTGAGCCAAGTAGTTTCAGGGAAGCAATTAGGTTCAGGGACCCCTGTAAATAGCTCTGCTTTTAACATAACTACCTTGGCTATGATCTCCAAGGTACTAATCCCAGTGCCTCCTTCTTCTAATAGTACTTACAATGCCACTCATTTTAAGGCCTCTCCTTACTGTACCCCTAATCTTGGTTTCCCCCCAACATTTACGCCTTGTCAGGATCATTCTTGGGAGAGACTTCAAGTTGCTAAGGGTTTCTCTTTTTCCCCCTCTCTTAAGAGGTATGTTTATAACTTTAACCATAGTGCCAACTCCTCTACAGGAGTAGGTTGGTCCTGGTTTCAATGGCTGATTTTCAATGAGAAGGGGGCTTCAGCTGATATTTCTGCATTGGCTCAATTGCTGGGAGTCAGAAGCTGGCTGGCTAATGTTTCTGGTACTGTTCGCGAGAGTGAACGGGGTAATAGACTTACATCTGTTTCGTTCAACTCTTTGCTATATAATGCCACATTGCCCCCTGCGATGGTCTGCGTCCAATCCCCATTCTTGCTCCTTTTGACTAATGACACCTCGTCAGGGATGCTGGATTGTTCTAGTGTTACCTGTCTCTTATCTGAGTGTTGGAATGGTTCTTGGACTGTAGCAGTGGTTATGAAAATTCCAACCTTTGTCCCAATCCCAGTCACTGCGGACCCAGATAAATTCCCCATTGTTGAGCTACTTAGAGTCCGCAGGGATTTTGGAATTACGGCAGCTATAGTGACAGCTGTGGCAGTGTCTGCTGCTGCAGCGGTTACGGCCGGAGTGGCCATGGCCAGTCAAGTACAAACTGCTGCCACCATTAATCAAGTTGTTCAACAAACTTCTACTATACTTGAGTCCCAAAATTCAATTAATCAACATATTTTGTCAGGGATTTTAGCTGCCAACCAAAGAATAGATTTACTCCAAGCTCAGGTAGAAGAATTGGCCGACTTGGTGCTTTTGGGTTGTGTTGACCAACGTGCACATTTATGTATAACCTCTGTCAGATTTAATGATTCCAGAAATGCCTCCCGCATCATCGGAGAGTATCTATCCGGAACCTGGTCCATGGAAGCAGAAAACTTGATCCAGTCTCAACTAACTCAGATTGCTGTTTTGAATAGTACCCGTGTCGAACCAGTGACTTTGGGTCAATTCACCGATTGGATATCTTCTGCTTTTTCCTTCTTCAAAGAGTGGGTGGGAGTAGGCATTTTTGGTGCAATGTGTTGCTTCAGTGTTGTACTCTGTTTGTGGCTTCTCTGTCGCCTTAAGACTCGCCATGCACAAGAAAAGGCTATGATCATACAAGCTCTTGCAGCTTTAGAAATGGCAACTCGCCTCAAGTCTGGCTTGCGCATCTTAAGCAGTAAACCTTTGTCATGGTCGTTACACCCCAAGTTATTATAACATTGCACTGGGATCGACATGACTTTCCTTGTTATTCTCTTAGTGTTGGAAAGCCCTTGCACTCTGCCGGTCTTACTGCCATTGCACGCAGATGGGTTTCCACACTAGTGCTTTTCTATCGCCTTGAAGTTCGTGCCTTTCTTTCAGGGTGCTGTCAACTTGTTTGTCATTATAAACAGCCACAGTTCAGCCTCAGCTATCCCCCTTCGTCCACCATCGTCACGATACAGGATGCGAGGCAAGGCACTGCACTTGAGTGATCCTTGAAGAGGACCTCAAGGAGAGCATGTCCTATTGCATGCGGGTTAGACGCGTTCACGCCCCGCCCCACGAAAAAAGGCGTCGGCTGATATGGCCTCAGATCTGGGGAAGGGCCCTCCTTGGGACTGAGCCATACTATGCAGCCACTTCTGCACAGTGGGATAGGACCTCTACTCTCGCCTGTATTGTTTTAATAAAATAGAAAAGGGGGAACTGTGGTGAGCCGCTTCTGCCGTTTCTGCAGATTATGGTCGCCATTACAAGATGGCGCTGGCTCCGCTGTGGTCTGTGACAAACAATTTCTTATCTGGGAAAGTTGGCACATGATTTTTCACCACCCTGTGAGAAAGTTCCACGCGGCAGCTTTGCATTGGGGCTTGGGATGCTTTATTAAGGCTGGGAGGGGCACCCGAGGAAGAAGAAGAAATATCCAGGGACCTGAATAAACTGTTGAGAGAAGATTCTCGAGAGTTGCGTCTTCCTTGCGGGCAAGGGGGTCGCGACAGAAAATTATAAAGCTCATTTGATTTTCCTTTTTGCCATGTCTTCCAGGAAGCTCAGATTCAAGTAGGATGTTCAATCAGATAGGACTGTCTTAGTCTTTATGATTAAAATACATGCTTCCTTTATTCATGATTCTAGTTTTCCTTCCTTCCTTCCTTCCTTCCTTCCTCCCTTCCTTCCTTTTTTCCCTTTCTCCTTCCCTTTCCCTTCTTTCTTCCTACTTTCCTCTCATCTTCTCTACCTCCTTTTCTTTTTCTTCTGTATATTTCAAAAACTTTGAATTTTGTTGTGCATGACCTAAGTTTTTCCAGAATTCATTATAAACAATAACAGATAAAATAACAATAGTGATTTCTTAAAAGTTGATTTAAAACCTTTATTGGTAACAGATCATATAGGCTAATTATAGGACAGAAAATAAGTATAGTACAAAAGCTTAGCGTAAGATTCTAAGACTGCATCACAAGTGACTTTGGCTATATTTATATTTATGTTGTGGTATATAGTTTACAGCAAGGACTGTAATAGCCTTCTGCTTCCCACACAATTTTTTTCACTATTATTTAGAAATTTTTACTAATGCTATACTTACATTTATTTGCTCATTGTACTTCTGTCCTACAGATCCAGGGTTTTTTCTTTTCTGCTCTAAAGGACTTCTCCTCTTATTTTCAATTTGCTTTCTTCTTCTAACAGTAGAATCTTAAACAAATGCCAGCACAATGTCAGAAATTATACAAGTTGAGTATACTCTATCAATTGTAAACTTTCCAATTACCTTGGAACATCACAGAAAACTTATTCATTTCATCTATAAATTTTATTGAGTTTTCTCTCATATGTTCTTTGAATGGTACAATTACAAGTATAATTCAACACAATTCCTGCTTTTGAGGGACTTATGCTTTGGATCAGTGACTTCTGACACTTGGTGCTAGAACACCGGGAAGGTATGTAAAATAAGCCATTGGTGTGCAGGAAGAACATATTAGAATTCTAATTTATGCTTCATTTAAAAATTAGAAATTAAACTTTACTCATGCAATAAATGATTGACACTGATAATCTAGTTAGTTTGTAAGACAGACTGTTATATATTGCACATAGTAATCTTGGTTATCTTGAAGGAATGAAAGTTCCAAATGAAACAAAAATCAACTTACAGTATATTAAAGACATAGGAATTAGAAAAGAAACATTGCAACCTCTAAAAGAAAATTTAAGTTTAACACTTTAAGACACTGGTACAGGGCACCAACTTTCTGACAAGGCTTCTAAAACTCAAGAAATAAAACCAAGAATCAATAAGTCAGAAGGATTCAAATTAAAAATCTTTTGTACAGCAAAGGAAATAAGAGTATGAAGAGATAATCTATAGAATGGGAGAAAATCTTCGCCAGCTACTCTTCTGATGGGAGTTAATAACCAGGTTATATGTAGAACACAAAAAACTTAACATCAAAACACAATTAATTAATGTGAATATGAACTAAACATATATCTCAAAAGAAGAAATGCAAATGACTAACAAATATATGAAAAAAATGTTCAACATCCTTAGCAATCAAGGAAATGTAAGTCCAAACTACACATAGATTTCCTCTCACTCCAGTTAGAATGGCAATCATAAAATAATACAAGTAATAAGTGCTGTGAGAAAAATAAAACAAAATGACAGGAAATAAAAATTATATCTCAATAATAACATTGAATGTAAATGGCCTAAGCTCATCAACCAAAAGACATAGACCGGCAGATTGGATTAAAACATGACCCAACAATAAGATGCCTCAAGAGACTCACCTCATAGGCAAAGACAACCACAGACTGAATGTAAAAGGATGGGATAAAACTTACTCACATGATCTTATCCACAAGCAGGGGTTTCTATACTCATATCAGATAAAGTTGGCTTTAAGCCAAAGTTAATCAGAAGGGTCCAAGAAGGGCCATTTCACACTGCTTAAGGGAATTATACATAAACAGGACATAACAATCAAATATTCATGCCCCAAATGGTGGAGCATCTACATACATCAAACAAACCCTTCACAATTTCAAGAATCAAATAGACCACAAAATAATAATACTGGGTGACTTCAACACACCTCTCTCATTACTAGATAGATCCTCCAAATGAAAACTAAATAAAGAAGCTATAGAACTAAAAAAATGCAATTAATAACTTAGACTGAACAGACATATGTAGAAAATTTCATCCATCAAGGACTGAATACACTTTTTTCTTAGAAGCGCATGGATTCTTCTCTAAAACACATCATATCTTAGGCCATAAAGCAACTCTTAGCAAATACAAAAAAATAGAGATAATACCCTGCATTCTATCAGATCATAATGGAATAAAATTAGAAATCAACAATAAAATAAAAAATAGAAGCTACTCTAACATGCTATTAAATGACCAATGCATAGTAGAAGAAATCATGGATGAAATAAAAAAATACTTAAAAAATACTTAGCGGTAAATAAGAATTGTGATACAACTTATCAAAATCTCTGGGACAGTATGAAGGCAGATCTAAAAGGAAAGTTCATTGCACTGAATGCATTCTTTAAAAGATAGAAAGTCACCGAATAAGTAACCTAACATTACATCTCAAAGCCCTAGAAAAGGAAGAACAAGTCAACACTAAAAGCAGTATAAGTCAGGAAATAATTAAAATCAAAGCCAAAAAAATCAATAAAATTAAAACCAAAAATTCAAAAAATAGATGAAACTAAAATTTTGTTCTTTGAATAAATAAATAAATTGATAAACCCTTAGCCAAACTAATGAAGAAAACAAGAGAGAAAACTCAAATCACTAAAATTTGTGATGAAAAAGGAAGTATATGGACATTATTGAAATACAGATGATAATCAGAAACTATTTTGAAAATCTATATTTCAATAAAATAGAAAATATTGAAGACATTGGCAGACTTTTAGAGACATATGACCTACCCAACTTGAAACAGCAAGACATAGAAAATTTAAGCAGATTAATTTCAAGCAATTAAATTGAAGATGCCATCAAAAGCCTACCAACTAAGAAAAGCCCAGGGCCAAACAGCTTCTCAGCTAATCTTTACAAAATCTTCAAAGAAGAATTTAAACCAACACTATTCAAATTATTCCATGAAACAGAAAAGGAGAGAACTCTTCCAAACTCATTCTATGAAGGTAGTATCACCCTGATACCAAAACCAGACAATGACACATAAAGAAAAGAAGCTTTCAGACCAATATCCCTGATGAATATAGATGCAAAAATTCTCAGTAAAATTCTGGCAAATCACATACAAAAACATATTAAAAAGATAGTGTACCATGATCAAGTGGAATTCAGGGTTGCATGGTTGGTTCAACATATGGAAATAAATAAGTCATATCAACAGACCTAAAGACAAGAACCACATTATTATATCAATAGATGTAGAAAAAGCATTTGACAAAATTCAGCATCAATTCATGCTCAAAACCCTAGAAAAACTAGTGATTGTAGGAATATACCTCAATATTATAAAAGCTGTATACACCAAACTGAAGGCCAGCATCATTCTAAATGGAGAAAAATTCTACAGATTAGAACAAGACAGGGATGCCCTCTTTCAACCACTTCTATTCAACATAGTCCTTGAAACCCTAGCCACAGCAACTAGACAAAAGGAAGAAATTAAACAGATACAAATAGGAAAAGGGCACTTACACTATCACTATTTGCTGGTGACATGATTCTATATTTAGAAGATCCAAAAAATCCACCAGAAAACTTCTTGAACTCATAAATGAATTCAGCAAATTAGCAGGATATGAAATTAACATCCATAAATCAACTGCATTCCTGTACATCAATGATGAATCAACTGAAAGAGAAATTAGGAAAACTACCTCATTCACAATAGCTTCAAACAAACAAAGAAACTTGGGAATCAATCTAACAAAAGAAGTGAAAGACCTCTACAATGAATACTACAGAACACTAAAGAAGGAAGTTAAAGAAGACCTTAGAAGATGGAAAGATCTCCCATGTTCTTGGATAGGCAGAATTAACATTGTCAAAATGGTCACACTACCAAAAGCACTATACAGATTTAATGTAATTCCTATAAAGGTTCTGAAGACATTCTTCATAGAAATATAAAAAGCAGTCATGAAGTTAAATTTGAAAAATTAAAGAGACCCAAAATAGTCGAAGCAATCCTTAGTAAGAAAAGTTACATAGGAGACATCACAATGCTAGACCTTAAATTATACTAAAGAGCTGTAGTAACAAAAATTGCATGATACTGGCACAAAAATAGATATGAAGACCAATGGTACAGAATAGAAGACACAGAAACAAAGCAACATAAATTCTGTTATCTCATACTAAACGAAGTTTCCAAAAACATACACTGGAGAAAACATAGCCCTTTTAACATATGGCACTGGAAAAACTGGAAATTCTTATGTAGTAACTGAAATTGAACCACTATATCTAACCCTGCACAAAAATCAACTCAAAGTGGATCAAGAACCTATGCATTAGACCAAAGACCCTGCAACTACTAGAAGAAAAAGTAGGCCCAAATCTCTATAATATAGTCAGCTTAGGAGCTGAATTCCTCAATAGGACTCCTAAAGTGCACAGGGTAAATCAAGAAATAAAAGTAATCGTATCAAGCTGAAAATCTTCTTTACAGCAAAGGAAACATTCAAGAGCATGAAGACAGAGCCTACAGGATGGGAAAAATTCCTTACTACCAGCACCTCAGATAGAGCATTAATCTCCAGGATATATAAAGAACTCAAAAAACTTAACACCAACCGCCCCGCCCCCCAATAACCCAATCAATAAATAGGCAAAGGAGCTAAACAGACACTTCACAGAAGAATAAATACAAATGCCCAACAATTATATAAAAAAGTGTTCAACATCTCTAGCAATTAGAGAAATGCAAATTGAAACTACACTGGGATTCCATCTCACTCCAGTCAGAATGGCAATTAACAAGAATATAAGTAACAATACATGTTGGCAGGGATGTGGGGAAAAGGTAAGCTCATATATTGTTTGTGGGACTGCAAATTGGTTGCAACCACTCTGGAAAGCAGTATGGAGATTCCTCAGAAAACTTTGAATGGAACTGCCATTTGCAAGCTACCCCACTCCTAGGTTTATACCTAAAGGACTTCAAATCAGCATACTACAGGGATGCAACCACTTCAATGTTTATAGCAACTGAATTCACAAAAGCTAAACAATGGAACCAATCTAGGTACTATTCAATAGATAAATGAATAAAGAAACTGTGGTATATATACACAATGGAATATTACTATGCATTAAAGAAGAATGAAATTATGGCATTTGTAGGTAAATAGATGGAGCTGGAAAATATCATGCTAAGCAAAGCCAATTCCAAAAAAACCAAAGGCAGAATTTTCTCTCAGATAAGTGGATGCTGATCCATAATGGAGAGGGCATGGGAAAAATAGAGGAACTTTGGATTGGGCAAAGGAAAGTTGGGAATGGGAGGGGGCATGGGGATAGGTAAGATGGTGGAATGAGACTGACATCATTACCCTAGGTACATGTATGATTGTACAAATGGTACAAATCTGCATTGTGTACAACCAGATAAATGAAAAGGTTTGCTCCATTTGTATACAATGAAATGAATTGCATTCTGTTGTCGTGTATAATTAGAAAAAATAAAAAAAATAAAATGTTGTGTTCTGATTAAGGTTCATATGCACATGTTAGTACAGTAATACATATGTACAGCATATATATTTCTCAAAATTTTATTAATAATGATAATATTTGAGGATGTTGGTTTAGAAGGCTGGATACAAAGTTAAATGGATTATTGCAGTAAAGTGCTTAAATTGCATGTAGAATTATAGACAGAACTAAATGAAAGCACAGAGGATTACAATGAATTAAAAAATTAAGAAAGATTTTATAGAGAATATTATATCCGAGCTCGATGTTAAAAGGAGTAGTGGATTCACAAGTAAAAAGGTGCTTTGAGTCAGGAAGAACATTATGTGTAAATACAAAATTATTGTGGTATATACTTAGGTTTTGGGGGGCTAAGGAGTAGAAAATTTACTTAGTCTGGGGCATAGAATATGAATATTTATGTAAACATATAAATATCTTGGGGAAGTACATGGAAGTATACACATATGTTATATTAAGAGTCAGAAAGAAGAACAAAATTAAAGTATTTTGAGCCCTGAGATTAAATTATATACTGGAGAACATGGGTTTGAATATTAAATTTAATTGATGTTAATTATGATCCTATAGCTAATACACACACATATGCACAAATGTATGCAAGTGATATAGAAATATAGGTATAAAACAACAGAGACACAAAGAAGCCACCAATTTTCAGGAAAGTTGGCCAGGACTTGAACATCTGACTTTTGAGAGTCAGAAATAACATAATACTAGTTAATATTTACTTAGCATTTATAAATTTCCAGATATTGTTCTAAGGGCTATAGGTATGATTACCACCACCGTCTTTACAGATAAAGAAATTAAGGCACAGGAGACGATAAATAACTTGTCCAAATTCGTAGAGCCAGTAAGGGGTAAAGCTGAGATTCAGCTCCACTTAGTTGGGCTCTAAACTCTAAAATTCTAGCTCTTATACACCATGCTAGTAACTTTCATGCTGATTTGATTGTGTCTCAGAAAAATAAACATATTTGTCATAGTGACCCAGTATACACATGTAGCTTTAGAAAACACATTCTTATAACATAAGATGCCCACTGGTAGTTTCTATTCTAGAACATTCCAGCTCTAAAGCTAGACTTTATGTATTTATTTATTTATTTTTAAAGAGAGAGAGAGAGAGAGAGAGGGAATTTTTAATATTTATTTATTCTTTTTTGAGTTTTCGGCGGACACAACATCTTTGTATGTGGTGCTGAGGGTCGAACCCGGGCCGCACGCATGCCAGGCGAGCGCGCTACCGCTTGAGCCACATCCCCAGTCCTAGACATAGTTTTAAGCATACAGCGTATGCTTAAAACTGTTATGTATTATTTCATCCACATATGTGCATTTAAATAATACCTAATAATTATTATAATAGCCAATAACTTGGTCTCTTCTTTTCTACCCCCCCTGATTTTCTTGTCAATAGTGAGGATTGAACCCAGGGGAACTTTATCACTGATAAAAATCCCCAGCCCATTTTAATATTTTGAGAGACAGTCTTATTAAGTTGCTTAGGGCCTCGCTAAGTTGACAAGGCTGGCCTTGAACTTGTGATTCCTCTTGCTTCAGCATCCCAAGTTGCTGGGATTACAAGTATGCAGCACTGTGTCTGGCTAATTCTGGCATTAGGGTAAGTAATAAAACTTATCCTGGTATCTCTGAACAAATTTCTAGTGTCATATGAAAATGGTAACCATGGTCCAATCTAGAGATTGATGTAAATGTCCAGATGATTCTCTAGGAATTCTTTTCTTCCAGTTTCATATACATGTCCTGATATCATCTATCCCACATCTAAGGGCTGATTTACATAATATTTTATTCTTTTAGTAAAAACAACCCAAACTTGGGCTGGGGATGTAGCTCAAGCGGTAGCGCGCTCGCCTGGCATGCGTGCGGCCTGGGTTCCATCCTCAGCACCACATACAAAGATGTTGTGTCCGCCGAAAACTAAAAAATAAATATTAAAAAAATTCTCTCTCTCTCTCTCTCTTGGAAAAAAAAATGTGATAACAGAAATGACCTGGCAAATAGGAGTGGGAAAATGAAAATGAATAAATTCTCACTGAACTATAATTTGTTATTACCATAGAAGTAACTTAAAATGTTAGACATTTAATTTTGAAAAAAATCTTGAATGACTGCTAAGTATTTGGTTTTGTTAGAATTTTTAGATTTTCTAAGTATAATTATTGTAGTAAGAGGTATAGATATATACAACAGTTTGAATATTTTTATATCTATCAAAATGTGGCTAAAATTCTTTGTTTCCAGTGTTTTTTATATTCCTGAGAGAAGTACCTCCTTTCATTAAATATCAGGAAAATAGTAGTTTCTCCAGTTGAAAATACATATCCCATTCTTTTATCAGAGAATGAGGATTCTAGTATAGGCTACCCTTTATTACATAAGCTATTTGGAAAACTAAGTTTCCAATTATTTTTTCTGATAGCTCAGAGTCTGATACATGATATATGTTTAGTAACTATATTACTGTATGGTTTTAGTAGAAAAAAGCACAGGTCTTAGAGCCATAGAAATCTGGATTAAAATGCCAATTCTGTTATTTATTAGTTCTTGCCACAGGGAATTTCTGTTTCCTTCTTTGCAAAAATGGGATTTTTAAAAATGTTTATTTTTCAGGGTTACTATAAAGTTTAGTAAGATAATAAATTTAAAATCCTTAGTCCTATAACTAAAAGAAAGTAGAAATTCGAAATAGATAAACATCATTATTTATTTATTTATTATTTATTATTATTACATAATCTGTAAGAGACTTTTATTTTTGAAGTATTAAATTAAAGTTATATTGTGAAATAACTGGGTAAAAAAAGAAATTCTAATGAGAGGAAAAAAATTTTAAATTTAGATCTTTGTAGACAAGCACTGAAGACTTTTATATTGCAGTCTTTGCATTTAATTTTCTGTCTGGTAATGTGTTTGTGCCCACCCAATTCACAGAAAAGTTGGGGTACCTATGAATTGTCAGGCACTGTTAGGGCCTGGAGACACAGTGATGAATTACAAAAAAAGTTCATTTTCCCTAAAAGTTTATGGTCTAATTGAAGAAGACTTTGAATATTAAATTTTAAATTAACTCTTTAATTATAATATTTATTTATACCTTTGGAAAAAGAAGAGTTGCTTTTCTGTTCTCTCTCTCTCCCCCAGTCCTATTTACCCATAAGCAACCGGTTCCTACTAGCAGGAAATATGGGCTCTTAGTTCATTCCCTCAGAAGAGGAAAAGTAGCTCATGAGGAGTCAACCAGTTGCTATGGGCAATGACAGTCTATATAGAAGTAGCTTTTTAAAAAAAACTTAAGGCAATGGTATCATTCATTTCCTTATGTGAAAGTCAATATTTGTAGCAGATAAATGCAGAGCTATCACACTTTTGAAAAGAAATGGTAGGATTTGGTACATCTATTATTGGCTTATAGCAGTTCAATTTAATAGTTTTAAAGAATAATAAAGGATTTTGTTATAATTACATTTTCTCAACTATTTATAATAATTTAAACAATTATATTCACTGTGCTTAACTTGACAGAAACTATAACTCCAATATTAATGACAGAATAATGTGGGACAAGAATCATATCCTATTTCTTATCTACCCTCTTTTAAATTAACAAGAGAAATCATGAAAAAATAAAACACTGGCAACACTTTCTAAGTTTACTGAGCATAGGTTGGGTCACTCTCTTAAAAGCTTCAGCTACTAGATTAAGTTAAAATATAAAGTAAGGTAAGTTATTTCTATAAGGCTAATTTATAATTGAATATTAACATTTAATCATAATGAAATGTACATTGTAGTGTATATTGCTATGCCTCAATAGGAAAATTTCATATGAATTTAAAAAGTTGTATATTTTATTTATAAAAAGATATAAATTTATTCTTACCAGTGGCCCTCTCATTTTGGCTCAGAATGTTATTCCCTCTTTTCCACAAGGGAGATGATTCTTCTTCAGTAGTTCTAAGAGTCACAGACTGAGAGCTTTCTTCACAAACAGGACTTCTTTGGGTGCAATATAATGTCCCATCTTGCTGGGTAACCATTTGAGTACCATTTAAATGATTTGTTTTTGCTAAAGTTTGGCACTCAGAAGAATAATAAGATGGTAAAGATGTAATCACAGTGACCAAGTCAGAACGAGGATCTGAGAGTAGAGGACTACTTTCTTGATTCCACTGATTCAAATTGTGTTCTGTTGGAAGCATGCATTTTGAATTAAAACAGTTATATGTAATAATGTTTTGAGAATTTTCAGTTATGATTGATTGACACTTAGATACATGTATATTTTTACCACTTCTAATATTTGATGTAGGTTTAGGAGGAGGATGAGGTATAATTAGTTTACCCTGAGTTTGTAGAAATGTGTTGGCTTTACTTGCAGACCGTGGTTGAATGACAGTGCCTTTTCTGTTGGTATACATAAAGCTGGATTGGACTTTTGCAGATCCTGTTCTTCTGATTACTTTTGCTCCACTTCTATGTGGATTACCTTTCGGTGTTCTAGAATTACCATTACGCATAGTGATTTTATTTTCCTCTTTTTTGGAGGCCGGCCAGGTTTGTTTAGTAAAGTTATAGCTTGAAGGTATAAAGCAGTTTAAAGGTGCATGGTCTGTTCCAGGACCTCCTAAAGCAGTGACATTTTCAGAGAGAGAGTCATCCTTGGACTTCTTTCTATTAGAATTTACAGCACAGGCAGGAACACTAGTCAAACTATTGCCAGCTACACTTTTAATGTGGAGTTCTTGAGACCATGGTTGAGTCATTCTTGTTCTATTCTTTAGTGAATGACTGTCTTCAGTGTTGTTTTCTATGTCACCAGTTTCATCAAACCACCTCAATTTTTTGGTAATCTTTGGGATTTCTGCACTTTTTTCCTTGGTTAATTCAATACTATCTCTAATAGCTGCTGCTTTTTGATTTCTGAACTTAAAGCCTTGATTTATAATTAGTGCCTTAAAATAATCATGTTCGTATTTAGATTCCTTCTTTAAAATACTTTTAAGAAACCTTACACCATTTCGCTCATGAATGTTGTATTTTATTTTCTTATGCTCATCAAGTAAATCATAATTAGAAGCTACATTAGACAATGATGTTGATGATTCATACAGTTTTTGTTTTTTATCTTTTGAATCAGAATTTTGAGGTAAATAGGTGGTTTGAACATTGTCTGAAAATAAAGGCAACTCTTTTTTGTTATAATTGAAATATTTTATCCTTTCATCTTTAACATCTTTTAATTCGTCTAACTTATCAGAACACTGCACTGGGTCAATTTCTTTTATGTGAATATTGTTCTTTGCTAAAGGCCTAGCTGATTGTGTATTAGATGGCAAGACTAAAGGTGTTGCTGTTGGCATGAATGAAGCAGGAATTGAAGTACCTCTATTTTCTTGAGCTAATTTAGAGTATGTTTCTTGATTGGAAAATGTAGCCACTTCCTGGTTTAGAAAATCTGGAGCTGTCCAGGCTTTGCTGAATTTAAATGTTGGACTCTTAGTAACCAATGGCCTCTCCCTTTTAAGTTCTGCCAAAGTAGAGTCACTTATCCTCATAGTGCTGGCTTCAGAGGTTTCTTCACTTTTTTTATCTAGTTCAACTATGGGTGGACTATATAAAAAGGCTACTGAATTATTATTAGCAGTACTTGTGACTCTTTGCACAGTTCTACTCAAAGTGGATGGATTTTGTTCTTTATTATTAAAAGCTTCCCACACAGGTAGAACATTAGATTTACTTAACATATCTGAGAAACATGTGACAGACTGAGTCTTTTGAGCATCTAAATTTGTAAGCCAATTATTGATATGCTGAGTTTTAGAGACTAACAGTTTATCTTCATCAAAGCAGTTTATATTAGTTGATTGCAGATTTGCTAGTTTGAGGGAAACAGAATTCTGCTGGATTGATGTAGAAGGCTCCTTATTAAGTGTCAAGTATACTTCTTCATGCTGTCCAGCCTCAAGACTGTCTATACTTGAGAGTGTTTCAGAATTGGTTATACGATTAACTTCATCACAAAAGTTCTGAGAAAAAAAAAAAAGAAAAAAAGAAATTTTTAAATTGTGAAGGTAATGTCTTGCATTATTACTGAGTCCGGTTTTCATTGGCATGTAAAATAGAGTACAATTTTACAGACCAATATCAAATGAAGAAATAGAAGACGCCATCAAAAGCTTACCAACCAAGAAAAGCCCAGGACTGGATGGATACACAGCCGAGTTCTAAAAGACCTTTAAAGAAGAACTAATACCAATACTCTTTAATTTATTTCAGGACATAGAAAAAAAGGCAGTAATTCCAAACTCATTCTATGAGGCCAATATCACCCTGATCCCAAAACCAGGCAAAGACACATCAAAGAAAGAAAACTTCAGACCAATATTTCTAATAAACATAGATGCAAAAATTCTCAATAAAATTCTGGAAAATTGAATACAAAAATATATCAAAAAGATTGTGCACCATGATCGAGTGGGATTCATCCCAGGGATGCAAGGTTGGTTCAAAATATGGAAATCAATAAATGTAATTCATCATATCAGTAGACTTAAAGAATCATATGATCATCTCAATAGACACAGAAAAAGCATTTGACAAAATATAGCACTCCTTTATGTTCAAAACACTAGAAAAACTAGGGATAACAGGAACATATCTCAACATTGTAAAGGCTATCTACGCTAAGCCTCAGGCCAACATCATTCTAAACAAAGAAAAATTGAAGGCATTCCCTCTAAAAACTGGAATAAGACAGGGATGCCCTCTTTCACCACTTTTATTCAACATAGTTCTTGAAACACTGGTCAGAGCAATTAGACAAAAGAAATCAAAGGGATATGTATAGGAAAAGAAGAACTTAAATTAGTACTATTTGCTGATATGATTCTATACCTAAAAGGCCCCAAAACCTCCACCAGAAAACTTTTAAAACTAGTAAATGAATTCAGCAAAGTAGCAGGATATAAAATCAACACCCACAAATCAAAGGCATTTCTGTATATCAGTGACAAAGAAAATGAGGAAAAATTACCCCATTCACAATAACCTAAAAAAAAAAAAAGATATTTGGGAATCCAACCAAAGAGGTGAAAGATCTCTACAATGAAAACTACAAAACCCTAAAGAGAGAAATCAAAGTATATCTATAAAAAATATAAGGGTATAAGTAATCTATATTTCTGAAGTAGTCCTCAATGTAAAACAATAGGAAGATAACAAAGATTTATAATCTGCTTGCCTTAATTTCAACTCCTAAGGTAATTATTTAATTACTTTAGCTACAATTATAGTTTAAAAGGTCTCATATAGGAAGTGAAATCCTAAAAAACAGTTATTTACAAATTGCATTCTTTTTTCCTGAAACCCTTATTGGACTTGAATGAGGCTTCTAGCAGCTCTGTGACCTTAATATGAACTTCCTGTTGGCAGGGGATACATACTTTTTATAAAAGTTAATCTCGTGGTCTATAGTAAAGTTTTTAACTCTGGATGCATCTTAGAAGTCACATAAGGAAGTGTCTGTTCAGGTTCTTGGCCCATTTATTGATTGGGTTATTTGTTTTTTTGCTGCTTAGCTTTTTGAGTTCTTTATATACCCTAGAGATTAGTGCTCTATCTGATGTGTGAGGGGTAAAGATTTGCTCCCAATATGTAGCTCTCTATTTACCTTATAGATTGTTTGTTTCGTTGAGAAGAAACTTTTTAGTTTGAGTCCATCCCATTTATTGATTCTTGATTTTAATTCTTGTGCCAAAGGAGTTTTATCAAGGAAGCTGGGGCCTAATCCCACATGATGGAGATTAGGGCCTACTTTTTCTTCTATTAGACGTAGGGTCTCTGGTTTTATCCCTAAGTCCTTGATCCATTTTGAGTTGAGTTTTGTACATGGTGAGAGATAGGGGTCTCATTTCATTTTGTTGCATATGGATTTCCAGTTCTCCCAGCACCATTTGTTGAAGAGGCTTTATTTTCTCTAATGCATGTTTTTGGCACCTTTGTCTAATATAATTATAATTTTGTGGGTTAGTTTCTGTGTCCTCTATATATCAATCAACAAATATATTAAAAAATGTTTATCATCTCTAGCAATTAGAGAAATGCAAATCAAAACTACTCTAAGATTTCATCTCATTCCAGTCAGAATGGCAGCTGTTAAGAATACAAACAACAGTAAGTGTTGGCAAGGATGTGGGGAGAAAGGTACACTCATACACTGCTGGTGGGACTGCAAATTGGTGCAGCCAATATGGAAAGCAGTAAGGAGATTCCTTGGAAATGTGGGAATGGAACCACCATTTGACCCAGCTATCTCACTCTTCGGTCTATACCCAAAGGACTTAAAAACGGTATACTACAGGGACACAGTCACATCAATGTTTTTAGAAGCACAATTCACAATAGCTAAACTGTGGAACCAACCTAGATACTCTTCAATAGATGAATGGATAAAAAATGTGGCATATATACAATGGAATATTACTCAGCAATAAAAGAGAATAAAATCATGGCATTTGAAGGTAAATGGATAGAGTTAGAGAAGATAATGCTAAGTGAAGTTAGCCAATCCCAAAAAACCAAATGCTGAATGTTTTCTCTGATATAAGGATGATGATTCATTGTGGGGTAGGGAGGGGGAGCATTGGAGGAACAGACAAACGCTAGATAGGGCAGAGGAGTGGGAGGGAAAGGGAGGGAGTATGGGGTTAGAAATGATGGTGGAATATGATGGACATTATTATCCAAAGTATATGTATGAAGACACAAATTGGTGTGAATATACTTTGTATATAACCAGAAATATGAAAAATTGTGCTCTTTGTGTAATAAGAATTGTAATGCATTCTGCTGTCATATATAAATAAAAAAATAAAAAAAGAAGTTCCATCTTGGTAAAAAATTTCTATGCCTGGGTCCTGTTGATTTAATATATGTATTGGGGTGCTGAGGTTGTGGCTCAGTGGTAGAACACTTGCCTAGCATATGTGAGGCACTGGGTTAAATTCTCAGCATCACATATAAATAAATAAAGGTCCATTGACAACTAAAAAAAAAATTAAAAAAATACTTGTATAGGTTCATCCACTGGTATTATTATTATTTTAAAATTTCTTAGGTAATTATAATATGGGTTTAGGGCATGAACTATTGACTTTATAAAATGATTCCTTTTTGGAGATGTAGGACAATAATTTTCATAAATTCCAGCTATTTCACTATTTCACTGAAATTTCCATGGAATTTATCAATGTTTTCTTAAAATTTTATGATTACTTAATAATATGTTAAATGTTTAAAAGTATATCTGATTTTCCACATATATCCAGAATGCATTAATCTGTATTGGATATATAGCAATAAATTTTAAGATACTAAATTATAAATCTAGTAAAAAAACTGAGTGAATTAAAAAGAAAAGTAGTGTATCTTAAGATTACCAATTTCATAAAATTTAGATATTCTGCTATGAAACAAAAATAATTTTTTGTAGCCCAGAAGGTAAACCAAGAAATCAAGGAAATAAATTATAGGATAAAATATTTTAGTTTATATAGTTAATTCTTTTTGATATATTAGTGTGAAATAGGTTTTTAAATATTATTCATAAAAGTTTTATATTACTAGTATTTATCCCTTGTACATCATATGTTTGGCATACTTTGTGTACTGATAGTCACTCAACCAAATCAGAATAATAAAACAAAGGACAGCTACTTCACTGTTTGATTTTGGTATTAAATTATTTTAATTGATAACATAAGGAAACAGCTTGGATGGCTTCCTGTGAGACTGAATCCAGTGAGATTCAGAAGTCTGGATTATAAGGTAGAAGGTACATGGAACTGTGCTATCTAGGCCTCTAAGATTTCTGTTTGCATTAAGTCTGTGATGTTCTTATCTCCAAAAGCACCTCTAAAGGTGTCTGGCAAATTTCTTTTGTTTTTGTTTCTTTTTGGTATCAAGGATTGAACCCAGGGGCACTTTACCATTGAGCCACATGCCCAGCCTCTTTTTATTTTATTTAGAGACAGGATCTTGCTGTGTTGCTTAGGGCCTCCCTAATTTGCTGAGGCTGGCTTTGAACTCAAATCCTCTTGCCTCAGCCTATGGAGCTGCTGGGATTACAAGCATGCACCCTGAGGTGTCTGGAAAATTTACGATTTCATAAACTGTACATTTTTTCCTACCATTGAAAAATGAAACATTTTTATCAGCTTTTCAAGTTTTGTTCATAAGTTATACTAGTTGTCCTCTTGTCTTTGTTCTCCTGCATGTAAACATATCTATTTTTCCTCTGGGTTAATTTGATTTTGATGTGCCTTTGTTTGGTGTGTATATGTGTTTGAGTGTGTGTATGTGTGTGTGTATGTAGACTTCTTGGAGTTTGTTGAGTTTCTTGAATCTGTGGATTTATAATTTCATCAAATTGAAATTCCTCATTGTGGAGTTTTAATTATTATTTTTACTGTTGGATGTTGTTTTACAAGCCACTAATGCTATTAATTTTTTCTAATCTTTTTTCTCCCAATGCTTCAGTTTGGATAATTTCTATTGATTGCTATGTCTTCAAGTCTGAGGATTTTTTTTCTGTAATAACTGAATTGTTAAGTCTATTCAGTGAAATTTTCAATTCTGATATATTTGATTCTTTAAAAATATATTTATTTATTATATTTATTGTATTTTAATTCTTTGAATATATTTATAAATGATTTTGTTTATTAATTCCATTATCTCTGCCATTTCTGTGCCTGATTATATTCACTAACTTTCTTCTAGATTATGTGTCATATTTACCTACTTCTTCACATGTCTAGTAAATTCTGATTGAATTGACATTATGAGCATTATGCTATTGCATATATACATTTTAAAGCCTTCTTTAAGAGTATTAAGGTTTTTTTTTGACAGGCAGCTGGGTTACTTGTTGGGTTTTTTGAGGTTTATTTAGATTGTCTAGGTTAAAAGCCCATATCATCATAAAGTTTAGCTAATTCTTTTTTTTAAAGATATTTTCCTGTACTGCCTGTTATCCAGTATCTAAAAACAGTTGTTTCATATATTTTATTCATAATTATGATTGTTTATATCAGGAAGGCATATTTTCATCGCCAGCAGAAATCTCCTGTTTTGTTTTCTTAGCCTTGGCCACTATTGATTAATTGTTGGATAAATCAGGCCTATTTAATCTTGATATTGATCTATTAAGACTCTCATAAATGTATGTAATTCTTCATAAAAAAATAAAGTACATAGGCTTGGGAATGTAGCTCAGAGGTAGAGCACATGTCCTGTATGCATGAGACCTTCAGTTCAATCCCCAGTGCCACAAAAGTCAATATAAAAATAAAGTGCAGGAACATTTTGTAAAAATTAGATGGAATCTACATTCATTTATAAAATATGTAATCAAGTAAATTTCTTACTAGGGGTTAGACTAGAAACATCATTTCTATATAATTCTGCCATATTTCACATAATCTTGAAAAATAGTGATACTTATATTACATTGTACTTTCAAATAGCTTGCTTGCTTGCTTATTTATTTATTTATTTATTTATTTGTACTGGGAATGGAACTTGGGGCACTCTACCACTGCGATACATCCCCAGCACTTTTTATTTTTATTTTGAGATAGGTTTTGCTAAATTGCCCAGGCTGGCCTTGAACTTCAGATCCTCCTGCCTCTGCCTCCCAAGTCTCTGAGATTATTAAGACATGCCACCGTGCCTGACCCATAAAGCATGTCTTTTGAAATAGGAGGTGGTAAAAAAGAAAAGAAGTGGCAGAGAGAAAAATGAGGAAGAGGTGAGGAAAAATTAAAAAAGTTTTTTCTTCTAGCATCTGTGATGCATTCTTGCTGATTCATCCACACTTTCTTTTATGGCCTACTCTTAGCTAATGGCATACATTTCTTTAGTGGAGAAATGGAAAGCGGGACAAAAATATTAATAGGAATTAGAATATTAATAACATTATAGTTTCATACTTGCAAACTGCTTAAATGCTGATCTTCTAGAAGTTTCTGAGTTTCCTCCAGTTTAAGCTGGAACACATTTTTGTTAGCATCTAGGTTTGCCATGCTGTTTTCCTTCATTTCTTTATCACAACTGATTTTGGATAAGAGATGTTTCTGATTCTTATGGTCATTTTTTGACAACGTTGAAGGCAAGGAAGAATCTATAGCTCTGTGAACCAGACATAAAAAAAAACATTGAGTACATTTGAATAAAATTAACTTATTTCTATAAGTATATAAAATATACATTTGTATAATATGTGTGTATGTGTCCAGATAATCACATATAAGGATATTGGAGAAGTATATAGATATATTAGAATGGGAATTTAAAGCAATCAATAGTAAAATAAAAATGATTATGAGACTATAGTGCTGATGAAACAACTCTTTCATGTAGGAATGCCCAGTTACCCATGACTTTATTATATCCCATTCTGACAGGGGTAGAAGTAATTCCTGGAAATGGGTAGAATTAGTTCTCAGTTCCTTTAAGAGCATTCCTATATGGATAACAATATTCTGCATTACCCTTTGTTCTGAGTTGATGTCATGGCTAATAGGTATTTCTATAACCCTAAGAGAGTTGGTTGAAGATTTAAGTAGATGGAAACTAGGAAAACTGCTTGTCAGGGTAGGCAGGAATTTCCTCCCTACTTAATTAGGTTTGGGAGTGTGGCTCTCAATGAAGAGTGTACACATTTATTTTCAGTTTGTTTCAGGAATATAAGCATGTTTTTCATGCTACAGAAGGAGTATCTTTAACATAGAGTCTACTTTTAGTATGCCAAAGTGCTATCCCAAAATTATCAATGCATGACATCTTCTATTAGAATTTTGTATCATTTGGAAATGGATAGCATGTTACATTTTAGCATGCACACTGAAGTGAAAAGCAAAGAACTGAGGAAGATTTGTGGGGAAGGACAGGTAGGGATGAGGATGTCAAATAGATGACTGCCTGCCTGCTGTACTAGGGCTGGTAATGTGAATTCCAAGGGTATTTATTCCAATTCAGTTAAATAATTCTCAATTAAATGAGTATAAAAATGTTTTGGAAAGTGCCATGACCACTGTGGCATATACCTATCTCCAATACCCATACATATCTTATTTGGACAGCCTGGAATAATCAAGATCAATATCATTGAATTCCTAATTATCCCTTTATTATCATAGAGAGATCAGAGAGAGCAAGAAAGTATTTAACACAAGTTCCTGAACTTTGAGGGCATGTATCTGCCTCTACCTTTTACACCTTCCTGTGCTTACATAATCTTTCCCCTTTGGTCACCCTTCCCAAACAGAATAAAGCTAAATCTACTAAGGATCTAATAAACTCAATTGATTTACCTTTAAAGTTGCCGTCTCTCAACTTTTTCTTCTCTATTCCTTTCTTCTCTACTCCACTTTCTTCTCTTCTCTTCTCTACTTTCTTCCCCCAGGGAGGAGGATTGAAGGGATGGATAGGAATAAAAGGAGATGGGGAGGTAGAAATAGAGGAAGAGTGAAGCATGGGGGGAAAGGAAGAAGAGATCATAAAGGAAGAAGAAACAGGAGAAACTGGAGAGGGAAAAGCTAAATAAGTTGGAGGCAAACAAGGAGAAGGAGATGGATGCAAAGGAGAGGGCAAAAGAGGAATAGGTGAAGGAGGTAAGGATGGAGAAGTAGATGAGGAAGGTGAAGGAGGGGATAGAATAGATGAAGAGGAAGAAAACACTATAGAGGGTGAAGAAGAGGATGTGGAAGTAGAAGGAGATGGAGGCAAAGAAGAGGATGAAGAATGACAGGGAGGTGTGTGGGAGAGAACTGAGGAAGGTGGATGGTCTACAAAGGCCTGGGGCTGATTTGACAACGTGGCTTGTGGAACAGATTGCTGAACTGACTGCAAAGGATCCAATCTAGCAGGATATTCAGGAAATGGAGTGATATAAGAAAGAGTGGGGACTTGTTGATGAGGGGGATGACTGGATAAACAGGAAGGCTTCAAAACTGGGAGAACTTCCAAAGGGGCTGGGGAAACAACCAATCGAGCTGGAAGGGAACGACGCATAAGGGCAGGCATTAGAGTAGCAGGGGTAGAATGCTGTGATGGGAGGAAATGTTTAGATCTGGAAGTTCTGTAAAATAACTTGTTCTGTGAGTCAGGATCTGAAATGATTGGAGAACTTCGGGATGGGTGAGGTAGATGGTCAGGTGGACCACATGGAATGGGGGTTGGTAAATGAGGGAAACTGCTAGAAAAGCTAGAAGTAATAGGAACTGGAGGGCGAGGAAGATATTTGATTGGGTAAGACAATGGGGCTGGTGTAAAGGTCTTTGGGAGAGTAGAGGGGACAGATGGCAGGGTATGGGACTGGGAGGTGGAAGAAACAGTTGGGTAACTAGGAAGAATTAGGGAATGGTGGGATAGTAATGGAGCCCGAGAAGTAGAAAGCTGATCAGATAAGTAGGGATCAGGTGTGGAGACAGCTGGATAGGCAGGAATGGATCTGCACAGGTGGAAAAGCATTTGGACAGGCAGGTATAAAGAGCCTTATTAAGATTTTTGTTTTTAAATTGGGCTGTCTCTAGGCTTTTTGATTCACGTCATTTTTTTGTCCTTTGGGTCCATGCATGATCTTCCATTGATCAACCAGGGTCTTCTCACAATGACTGAGAAATGTACACAGCTTATTCAGATTCCCCTTCTTACTCCTTGCCCCTATTTTCAGAAGTCTGTTAGTCATACAGATACATGAATAGGGGCTGAAAGAAGCACTGATAAAAAGGGCAAATAGAGGTCAAATAGACAACTGCTCAGCTCTGGCCAAACTTCTCAGGGTAGCATGTGGTTTAGAATCAGCTGTCTCACTATGAATACATGGATATTGGAGATAGATATCTAACAACAATATTATTTTATTCAAGAATATTCAATATGGCAAAGAATATGTCCTCTTTTACCCTACACCTACTAGAAGGGTCAAGTCAATGAGCTTTGTGATAAAGATATGGTTTTGATAAAAGGCTCATTACTTCTCTACTGCTAACATTTTCCACATAAGAATAATCCTTTATGTGTACTGAATATTTATGCTTCTTTGGAAGCTATTTTCTTGGCTTTATTTTATTCTTTAACATATTTTAGGTTTATATTATACTGAAAATGTATTTTTAATGTCATAATATTTGTAGCTTAATTATATTTTTTTGCTTCAAAATTTTCATTAACCTCACACCTGATCCTTAGTATTCTGATATCTCATATTTGTATAGCATTTAGTTTAGGAATCACTTTCATATATATTATTTAGTACTATTAGTTATATGTGGAAAGAAGTCGGACTTCTTAATAAGTAAGCCATAGAGTCCTCTATGGATTATATATATTTGTTATTTTCTAAATATATATACACATCACATAACATTTATGTGATATGTATATATATATATATATATATATATATATATATATACACATACATATGTATGTGTGTGTATGTATATAAACACACAGATATATATATATATATATATATATATATATACATACCATGAAGTCAAAATCATAATAATATGTTACAAAACATGAAAACTAAGCATTCTAATGTAGATTGAAGATCATTTTTCATAAAACAAAGATGTGTGATATTTACTTAGCACAAATTTGCTGTAATAACTATGAGTTTGCTTCAGAGCAATCAAAGTTATTCTGACAGTTTAACTCTTCCATGAATTCAAGTAACTTCATATTGTTGAATAAGAAGAATATCTATGCTTTCACTTATTGTACAAAAGAGGTGTTTTTAAAATTGAAAACATCTAATTAACATCAAGGACAACTGCTATACAGAAATAAAAACTTGAAAGTGAAGAATCCCTGTATAAAAAATGCACAGTTCTTCTATATTAAATGGTTTAGACATTTTTTAAAGGAATCTAAATTCCCTGAACCCTCCTCTAATTTTCTGTCATCTTTTTTTAGATGTGACTTTCCTTAGAGAACTCTAATTGTTTTCACTTCTTCAACTTCCATTTGTTTCTTATCACATTGCTCTCTGATTCCACTTTTGCCATTTCAGTGTATTGCTTTGTTTGTGATTAACTAATTGACCAAATAATTGTAAAAATAGTCACTTGAACATTAACTTCAATGACTTTAATCTCCTTTGTTTCTATATCATCATGTTTTCCTACTTCTCAGATTGTTCTTTCTCAGGATTTTTCTTGAGTTCCTCTTGGCCTGTCCTTTACATGCTGGAATTTTTGAGAGTTATGTGACCCTCTTCCTTTTTTAATCAATACTCTCTTTGTAACCTTATTTGTACTATCTGTGTAATCTTATCTATATCTGTAATTGTGGAAAAGTAAAGGACTAATAAAATCCCATCTCCTTCTCTATGGACCAATTCAATATGGGTTTACTTTCTAAGTCTGTATCCAGGTTTTTGGTCCACCCACTGTGATCTCACTTTCTTACAGAGGAGCTGTAATTTGTGGAAGCTAGGGACATGACAAAGACTATATGCTTTGTGGCCTTCCCTGAGGATTCTTTTCATTGAAGAATGTTGCCTTTTTTGCAGTGTTTTCTGTTCTCTAGTTAAAGCCAAACATGGTCTACTGTATTTATGTGAGTTTGCTTATTTAGCTCAACTCAAGACACCACTGGTAGATATTGAGCCATGTAACTTTTATTTATCCATTTATTGATGACTGTCACATCTATTCTCATAGCCCAGATTTCTTACCATGGGAAATGATCTACTGAATATCCCACGTCTCAAGCTCACAACTTACCATCCTCCTTTCATTTACTTCCTCTCCTAAAACTATTTATTTCTCCTTCAGAGTCATTAAAACATTTATTTTTAAATTGTGGCGAGAACTTGTAACATGAGATCTACCCTCTTATCCTCATAGTCCTTATTTTGATAAATGACTTCACCATCCATTCCCTAAGTCCAATCCCTGGAGTCATCCTTGATTCTTCCCTATTACCTTCCAACTATCTCCTAAATGGCTTTTAAGAATTCATCATATACTTTGCCAGATTTTCCCACCATAATTCTTACCTCATTCTTTTCATTCTGGCAATATTTCTAAAATATATAAAATGCTGTATGCTTGTTTCAAATCTTTTGGCAACTGTTTCTAGAACACATTCCTTAACAAGGCTCTTCAATGTTTAATTCATGCCTCCCTTTCTAATCCATTTGCCCATAACTCTTGCCACTGTACTCACCAGCCAAATTGAACGACATGAAGACTCACTGACATAACATGACCTTTTATACTTTTATACTCAATAATTATTCCTTCTATCTGAAGTTTCCTCCCAGTTTTTGCCTCTGATGAGTACCTTTTTTAGCTATTAAATGCTAGGCAAAGTTTATACCCTCTCTGTTATTTATGGAATACATTCCATATGAGTAGCATTGAACTAAGTGCTAGAGGGAATAATTCCATGTATAAAATTTAACTACTGTTCTCTCTAATATTATAGTCTAGATGGGGAAACAAAATTACACATACAAATTACACAACTTTTCAGGGAGTGGGAGAAGGGGAGGGAGGTGGGAAGTGTTGGAGAGTGATATTGGCCAAATTATATTGTTATATTGTGTGCATGTATGAATATTTAACAATAAATCCCATCATATGTACAACTATAATGCGCCAATAAAAATATGGAAAGAAAAAACCCAAAATGTTTTTTCAAATCTATTAACTTTAAAATCTATTTCTATAGCCTTGCCCTCTTACCTCCCTCATCTTTGACTTTTTTTTTTTTTTTTGGTACCAGGAATTGAGCTCAGGGGCACTAAACCACTGAGCCACATCCCCAGCCCAATTTTGTATTTTTATTAGAGACAGGGTCTCACTGAATTGCTTAGCACCTTGCTGTTGCTGAGGCTGGCTTTGAACAAGTGATCCTCCTGTCTCAGTCTCCCAAGTTCCTGGGATTACAGGTATGCACCTCTGTGTCTGGCCTCTTTGGCTAGTTTTAAAAAACACATTCCCACTCAGATATCTATCCTCTCAATTCAAAGACTCAGATGAAACTTTTTAAAAAATCAACAAATTCTCTTAATGAGACTCGAGATTTCAGTCTCTTTCTTGTATGTATATGTGTGTTTGTTTTTCTCATTCTCTTTAACCTATCATATAACAACCTAATAATCTTTTCATGAAATATCTTTTTCTTGTGCCTTTCTTACTTCACCACTACCCTTCTAAAATAAATCCTTTTAAACTCATGAATGGACACCTTCCTCCTACTATTTTCTCTAAACTCTAATTTTTATATTTCTAATTGATCAATACCCTTAAATTCTTATTTCTTTATGTCACTTCTCTTTCTCTGCATTGTGAAAATGCATTATTTTTTATTCTTCTCTTTCATCCTCTTCACTCAAATCTATTTCTTCTTTTTATTTCTTCTTCTTCTTCTTAGTGCTGGCACTCAAACCGAGGGATTTGTGCATGATGGGCAAGTATTCTGCCACTGAGTGACAACTCCAGCCTTACTTTTCATTCTTATCAGATATATCCTTTATACATATATATCCTTTATTCCCTGTACAAAATAGTGCTGTTTTAGACTAGGCAGCAATGATTTATCTATTGGATTATCTGAACAATTTTCTCCCTGGTCTCCTCCAAATTTAGCTACTTTATTCTCCATCATTTACATCATTTATCTTTCTAAAAGAATAAAGAGGATGATATCACTAGTTGCTTAAAAACCTCCACTTAGCTGGGTATGGTGGTACATGCCTGTAATCCCAGAAATGGGGGAGGCTGAGGCAGGAGGATTGTTAAGCTCAAGGCCAGCCTCAGCAACTCAGTTTGGCCCAAAGAAACTTAGTGAGACCCTGTCTCAAAATGCAAAATAAAAAGGGTTGGGGATGTGGCTCAGTAGTAAAGCACCCTTAGGATCTATTTCTAGTCCTCAAAACAAAAACAAAACAAAACAAACAAAAAACAAATAAAAAAAACCTCCACTGAATTTCCACTACTTATAGGATAGAGTTCCAAATCCTTAGCTGGACATAATTTTACAACCTAATTTCAATTTTCATTTCTAGACCACCTCCTGTCCTACTAGCAATATCCTACAGTCCTTTTACTCCGAACAAGTTCTGTTTCCTTAGAGGGTTGTCTATGACTTTTGATAATATTCTGACCTAAACATGCCTAAAACCCAATCTATGCTTCTTTATGACAGACAATTTTTACTCATTCTTTAAGACTGATTGTCAATTTTGTATGTCTTTATCAGTTTGTTAGTATTTAATATATTATGCCATTCTGGAGAGGAACCAGATGCTGTTGTCTTTTCAGGATATCCAGGAAAAAATTTCAGTGAGAAAAATTCTTTCTACCGTAAAGTTACTTGAGTTTTTTTTTTTTACCTAATTTGTATCTCAATAATTCAAAACATTTTTTATCATGAATATAAATAACCAGTATCAATATATTAAAATAATTTTGATTATTCTTACTTCAGAAATATTGTTCAACATAGGCAATATTTGTAGTACTAAAGACCTCAAGACAACAAATTAGAATTCTAACTTATCGTGGAGCAATTTTATATTCTATTCTACTTCATTTTAATTTGTGAAAATAAAATAATAACTCTAAAACAGAGGTGAGGAGTAACTTATGAAAAGGCCTAGAAATTATAAATTTATAAAGCTATGCAATTATTATATACTAATAATTATACATAATAATAATGTTACTTACCTCCAGTTGATTGTTGGCCTGTGGGAAAAGGGAAGATTTACTTCTGATTTTAAATTGGATTCCTGAATTTGCTTGAGGGCCTCTTCTAATGGAGGAACTGATTTTGGAAAAACTATGGGATGATAAAGAAAGATCAAATAGTAAAAAATCACTCTAGCCTCAGTGGCTTTTTTTTAAATATGTAATTTAATTGGTCAATAAAGAAAATGTTACTTTAAATACTTGTAAACATATATTTGTAAGAGTATAAATACTATAAATTTTGACATCTAATTTAAAAAACCACTCTTATCTTGAAATTTTCATCATTCTTAAAGTTAGGAATATTTTTCTGGGAAAAAGAAACTCAGAAATGTCCAGATTTTAAATTCTGTTATGTAAACCTCTATATCTGATGTCATAGTCCCTTAAGTTAAGTTTCCAACAAAATTTATACCCATATAAATAAAGGGGGAAGTATATATTAAATTTATTGAATATTTATTGTTATTACTCTTATTTTTAAGTACTTTATAAATATAATAACTAATTTATAAATATATAGCTAATTTAATCCTCATTATGGTCTATAAACAGATGATATTTGAATTTTATATATGAGGAAACCAAGAGATAGAGAAGGCAAGTAGCTTGTTCAAGGTCATGCATTATTATGGACAATCTCCAGACTTCATCCACATATTGCTTTGCACAACCTTTAATCCAACCCTGCCTCCAGTATGTATTTACTACAAAGCCTTTCAAATGTGTACTTTGGAATTCAACATACTCTACTTCCCTTACTTCTCTATGAATGTATTCGTCTCTTCACTTTCTTGTTCAAGTTGAGACATAGATGTCTTCCCCACCCCCAGCACTAAGACATAGTTGTCTTTTAAAAACATTGCTTTTCCTGTAGCTCTCTCGAGTGGAGATATTATTCTCATCATATGCTCTAATAACTTAAGGTTCGGAGGTAGGTAGGTAACTTTCTAGCTCTAACTCTCCATTGACACTGTCAAACTTCCTTAAAACACCCATATGTGAAAATATTCCACTGTTCCACAATATCTATAATTTACGTTAAAATGTTTAAGCAAAAACAGTATATTATTATATCAGGGTTAGTTCAAACTTGAATTCTAGAGTCAGTCCATTTCCCTAATCAATTGGTGATGATATAATAATATGCTAATGAAGAATGCAGTTATGGGGTAGTCTGCTAATATTCTAATCCTAAAGGACCAATGCTCTTGAAACTGCTAGTATCAAGCTTTAGAGATTATCTTAGTTCATTTAGGATGTTATAACAAATAATTTAGACTGGGTAACTTAGTAAACAATAGAAACATTTCTCACAATTCTGGAAGCTGTGAAGTACCTGATCAAGGAGCTAATGGTGTATGGTGAGGGTTCATTTCCACATTGAGGGTATCTTCTGGGCTCTGTCCTTATGTTGTGGAAGGAGCTAACTAGCTCTCTGTGGTCTCTTTTAGGAGGGCACTAATCCCAATCATGAAAGATTCATGATATAATCATATCTAAATGGTCCCACCTCCTATACTATTGCCTCAAGGGTTAGAATTTCAACATAAGAATTTTGGAGGGGACACACACATTCACACTATACCAAATATTGACCATTTTTCAATATTCAACATAGTTCATTATTGGTGAAATTAATAGCCTGTTGAACAGCCTGATATTAAAAATAGAATTTTGGGCTAGAGATATAGCTCAGTTGGTAGAGTGCTTGCCTCACATGCACAAGGCCCTAGGTTTAATCCCCAGCACCACACATACATACATAAAAAATGAGATTTGTTAAATTAGATGTATTCAAGATAAGTGGATGTTCCTAAACATATTTTAATCACCCTTTACCCTTGTATGAGCAGAGCATGAGAATCCAGGAATATCTCTATCCTTTAGCCTTAGGGGTAGCATAGGAAGCTTGCTTTTATTATTTTTTTTATATTTTGCTGAGTTTATTATGATATAACCCCACTGGAATTTGAATAGCATCTGTATTAGTCTTTTAAAATCAGTGCAGTAGTCTTTTTAAACAATTGTTATTAAAAACATTATTTTAGCCAGGCACAATGGCACACACCTATAATCCCCGCAAGTTGGAACGCTGAGCAGACAGATGGAAAGTTCAAAGCCAACTTAACTGAGACCCTGTCTCAAAATAAAATTATAATAAGGGCTGCTGGTAGAGTCTCCTGGGTTCAATCCTTAGTACTGCAAACAAAACAAAAATCTGAGGCTTGATTCATCATCAGTCTTGTGAGTAGTCATAACATAGGAAATTTTCTGATTGCCCAATGCCAGAAGTCACAGAATTCTGTCCCTCTAATGTATGCCTCTGTGGTCCTTTCATGAAAGATAGAGAACCTAAAAACACAAAGATCTGGGATGTTTTTGAGCTCACTAAACAAGTTGCATGAATTGTTTTGCTAACAAATGTGTAATTGGGCTAGACTATAGTCTGAGGCTTGTCTTGATTAAAACTTCCTGTTGTCTATCAAAAAGAACTTAAAAGTTATATATGACAAAACTTAGATCAACTCACAAGTACCCATGACTGCTTCCTGTTGCTGTTAACTGATGATCTCCCAGTTACTACCTCTGGGCATGTCCTTGAGTCTCTACAAAAGAGTTCAGTGTAGGTAAACTTCCTATTTTCCTGTTGCTCTATTTTACTTGGCCACTGGCCTAGAAGAAATTGGCACTCTAGGTGCTAGATGCCCCCGTATTATTTTTCCACAAACATGTATCCAGTAAAGTAGTTTGTAGAAGTGTGTTTGCAAATGTAAAATGTCATTAAAAAAAAAAAAAGACAGATCCTTTAACAAGGTCTCTGGCCTTCAGTTGGAGCTTCACAGAAATGTCTACATTTCTAAGATAAGAATTAAGTTACCAATTGGGCTCCATGGTAACAGCGGGCAGGGGGAGGAAAGGAAGGGGAAAAGAAGCTCTTTCCTTCTCAGGTGTTGTCCTTGAAGGGTTAACTTGCCCAGAACAGAGGAAGAAAAAACTGCTTTTATGTGAACTTCTGAGACACTCTTCCTACACGCTGGGCATAAAGTTTTGAAACTACCTGAACTCAGGGTTTGGGGGATTGATTGATTACTGCAAGAACTGTGCCCTCTGAACCTGGATGCAGCCAAATAAACCTGATATCTTTGCTGCCCTGCCTCATTTGTCTCCTACAACACCAGTTTAAAAACTGTAAGTGGACTGCATTGTTTTTTTTTTTTTTTGCTTTTTATTTTTTATTTTTATTTTTTTTAAATTTTTTATTGTGGGTTGTTCAAAACATTACAAATTTCTTGACATATCATATTCCACACTTTGATTCAAGTGGGTTATGAACTCCCACCTTCACCCCATACACAGATTGCAGAATCACATCAGTTACACATCCATTGATTTACATATTGCCATACTAGTGTCTGTTGTGCTCCGCTGCCTTTCCCATCCTCCACACTCCCCCCTCCCCACCTCTCCCCTCCCCTCCCCTCCTCTCTCTCTACCCCCTCCACTGTATAACCCTGAGGGTCTCCTTCCATTACCATGCAATTTGCCTTCTCTCTCCCTTTCCCTCCCACCTCTCATCCCTGTTAAATGTTAATCTTCTTCTCCTGCTCTTCGTCCCTACTCTGATCTTAGTTACTCTCCTTATATCAAAGAAGACATTTGGCATTTGTTTTTTAGGGATTGGCTAGCTTCACTTAGCATAATCTGCTCTAATGCCATCCATTTCCCTGTAAATTCTATGATTTTGTCATTTTTTAATGCAGAGTAATACTCCATTGTGTATAAATGCCACATTTTTTTTATCCATTCGTCTATTGAAGGGCATCTAGGTTGGTTCCACAGTCTTGCTATTGTGAACTGTGCTGCTATGAACATCGATGTAGCAGTGTCCCTGTAGCATGCTCTTTTTAGGTCTTTAGGGAATAGACCAAGAAGGGGAATAGCTGGGTCAAATGGTGGCTCCATTCCCAGCTTTCCAAGAAATCTCCATACTGCTTTCCAAATTGGCTGCACCAATCTGCAGTCCCACCAGCAATGTACAAGTGTACCCTTTTCCCCACATACTCGCCAGCACTTGTTGTTGTTTGACTTCATAATGGCTGCCAATCTTACTGGAGTGAGATGGTATCTTAGGGTGGTTTTGATTTGCATTTCTCTGACAGCTAGAGATGTTGAGCATTTTTTCATGTACTTGTTGATTGACTGTATGTCCTCCTCTGAGAAGTGTCTGTTCAGGTCCTTGGCCCATTTGTTGATTGGGTTGTTTGTTCTTTTATTGTCTAATTTTTTGAGTTCTTTGTATACTCTGGATATTAGGGCTCTATCTGAAGTGTGAGGAGTAAAGATTTGTTCCCAGGGTGTAGGCTCCCTATTTACCTCTCTTATTGTTTCTTTTGCTGAGAAAAAACTTTTTAGTTTGAGTAAGTCCCATTTGTTGATTCTAGTTATTAACTTTTGTGCTATGGGTGTCCTATTGAGGAATTTGGAGCCCGACCCCACCGAATGTAGATCGTAGCCAACTTTTTCTTCTATCAGACGGCGTGTCTCTGATTTGATATCAAGCTCCTTGATCCATTTTGAATTCACTTTTGTGCATGGCGAGAGAAAGGGATTCAGTTTCATTTTGTTGCATATGGATTTCCAGTTTTCCCAGCACCATTTGTTGAAGATGCTATCCTTCCTCCATTGCATGCTTTTAGCCCCTTTATCAAATATAAGATAGTTGTAGTTTTGTGGATTGGTTTCTGTGTCCTCTATTCTGTACCATTGGTCCACCCGCCTGTTTTGGTACCAGTACCATGCTGTTTTTGTTACTATTGCTCTGTAGTATAGTTTGAAGTCTGGTATCGCTATACCGCCTGATTCACACTTCCTGCTTAGCATTGTTTTTGCTATTCTGGGTCTTTTATTTTTCCATATGAATTTCATGATTGCTTTCTCTATTTCTAAAAGAAATGCCGTTGGGATTTTGATTGGCATCGCATTAAACCTATAGAGAACTTTTGGTAATATCGCCATTTTGATGATGTTAGTTCTGCCTATCCATGAACAGGGTATATTTTTCCATCTTCTAAGATCTTCTTCTATTTC